CACCTTCGAAGTATCAGAGATACAAAAATGTAATCACTTGAAATGAATTTTTCTTTTACTGAAAGAATAAGCTCAACAAAATCCTTCTCGCTCTCTCCCAAACTCCGCTTTCAAGATTGTTTGTTTCTATGTGAAGTCCAGCAAATGCTGATCCAGGAAAGCAATGGAGACTGATGTGTGAAGTCTGTGTCTTAGAAGATTTGTTGTCAATGTTCCGCAAGTTTCGATGGTTGAGTGCATCCGTCAGAAAAACAACACCATCTACATCTAAGGTGGTACTGGACCCCGCCCCCCCCCCCACTCAGAGGTCGGAATCAGGCGCGGATCCAGGATTTCTTAGGGGAGGGGGCCCAACTTTTTTTTTTTTTTTGCTCCCGAAAATTTGAAAATCGCGCCGGCCGAAAAGTCGCTCAGTGGGGGGGGGGGGGGGGGGGGGGGGGGAGCACAATTTTTTTTTTTTTTTTTTTTTTTTTTTTTGCTCCCGAAAATTTGAAAAACGCGCCGGCCAAAAATTCGCTCAGTGGGGGGGGGGGGGGGGGGGGGGGGGGGGGGGGGGGGGGGGGGGGGGGGGGGGAGGGGGGGGGGGTGGTTAGTGAGCACATTTTTTTTTTTTTTGATCCTCAAAAAAAATTCTATTTGCACCCCCCCCCCCCCCTTGAGCGCCAGGGGGGGGGGCCAACCCCCAAAAAAGGTAAAAATCACGTGATTTTAAATGATTTTTTTCTCAAGGGGGGGGGCCCGGGCCCCCCGGCCCCCCCCCCCCCCCCTGGATCCGCCACTGGTCGGAATGACCACATGCGTGTTGCCAAAATGTCCGGTAAAGGGGTACTTTTCGTGCGACAAAGTCCGGCCCGAGAATTGTAAAAAAAGGGTGTATTTGACTTTTTACCCGGAGATTTCTTAAAAAAGGGGGTATTTTTCTTTTTTTCTCTCATCTCTTTGGACTCCTGAGAAATTATTCCGAATTTAGGGGGGTACATTGAGTATTTTTCCTGATTTAGGGGGGTCTCCAAGGCAGGAAAAGCCCGCGAAAAGCCCGCGAAAGGGGGGTTCGGAAATGATGGCAGTCCTCAGATAGGGGGTGCTTTCAAAAAGAGGGTACGAGCATATGCGTACTCTAAATAACACTGAGTGGGGGGGGGGGGCGGGTACTGGACAGGACCAATTGGTATATATGTCCAGACTTCCGTGGCATCGCAAACTGTCAACAAACATCACAACTGAGGGTGCAGAGTTCAAAAATAAAAATTAAAAGGTGCTCATAAAAATACAGTGGGTTGCAGACATCATCTAATTTTTAGATGAAGGAGCCACATCGACGCTCTAGCCCGCCTGTGTACAGCTGCGCTGAGTGGTCATTCTGCATGTAGCTCCAAACTTTGGTATTGAAAGACTTGGCTGATGTTGACTTTGATGATGGTGGCTGCCGGCTGGTAGTTGATTCCATTGCGTAATGGTACGAGGATAGAAGCTGTTCTTGTATTCTTCGGTCCTGGCAAATGACAAATGATAAGAAGGAATATAAAATGGCTTAGTTCAGGTATGGGGATTTTTAAAAGATCTGATCAAAGTAGCTAGCCATTTATGGTAGACAAAACCCGCTTGCATTAAAAAAAAAATTAATGAAAACAAATTACAGGTGTCAAATTCATTACAAGTGTTTAACTTTGGCTTTTTGTTTCAATTCTGCTTTGTTCATAATCATAATACAACTCGCACAAGGGAAATGCTGCTTATTTCTATGGCTGGTTGTAAAGTTTGAGTTGACCAGAACCAAAACAAAAGGCACAATCAAACTAGTTTGAGAATATGCCTAAATTAATAATATAATTATCTGAGTCTGACCAGACGCCAGAGTCACTGTTTAACTCTCACAGTTGACTGTTAAATTCGTGTAAAAATAAATGGATTAAGCATAAATATTATCAAGAGAGCTTGCTAATTTAATGGGATTACACGTAAGTCGAGGGCCCCAGATAACTCCTTGATCAGATATGGCTTTGTTTTATGCCGGATCGGTACAGAAAAGGCTATGTATGGGACCGGTACGCGGTCGTGGTGATGACTACGAAAGTGCAGCCATGTTGGCGAAACGTACACTTTTCGCGCCATATCGGCAAAAATGAGTTATTTTAACGTAGCCGTCACACAACTTCCGGTTGAAAATCGAAAAATGTGTAACTTTCATGGCCATAAAACTTTTATCAAAAGCTAATAAAATACATCGTGCATCAATCGAACTCTGCGCTTTTTCACTTCTGCCAACATTGTTCTTGTGAAAAATCAAACAATTGGGGAAAAAACATCGCTTATAATTTGTCAGATCCAAGCACTGTACTTTGCTATGTCTGGCGATAGGTTCTAGTTCTGTTGGTATAGGGGTTTGTTATGAATTTAACACACAAAGAAAAACACAAATTCATTCGTTGTCTGTATAGTTACATCTTACACTTTATTAATGAAATTAACAAAAGAAACATCAACCTGCATTCTCCAAGACGTGTATTCTACAGGTATGATATCCTGGTGATGTACAATGAAAATAGTACATGTATCACGTGTCTTTTACCCTCGTGCAAAATATTCCCACAATCTCCTGTGTTTCGGGTGCGTTTAATCGACACCTTTTCACCCTAGAATCACGGTTTCTAAAGACGTTTAGTTTAAAACGCAATGCGTTCAAGCGAGTTTTTCGTCGGTCGTAAAAATAAACGTGTTTGAAAACACAAACATGAAACGCTGAAAAAGATGCGTTTTGTATCATGATTCTGCAGAATCACGGTCGCTAATAAAATACATCGTGCATCAATCGAACTCTGCGCTTTTTCACTTCTGCCAACATTGTTCTTGTGAAAAATCAAACAATTGGGGAAAAACATCGCTTATAATTTGTCAGATCCAAGCACTGTACTTTGCTATGTCTGGCGATAGGTTCTAGTTCTGTTGGTATAGGGGTTTGTTATGAATTTAACACACAAAGAAAAACACAAATTCATTCGTTGTCTGTATAGTTACATCTTACACTTTATTAATGAAATTAACAAAAGAAACATCAACCTGCATTCTCCAAGACGTGTATTCTACAGGTATGATATCCTGGTGATGTACAATGAAAATAGTACATGTATCACGTGTCTTTTACCCTCGTGCAAAATATTCCCACAATCTTCCTGTGTTTCGGGTGCGTTTAATCGACACCTTTTCACCCTAGAATCACGGTTTCTAAAGACGTTTAGTTTAAAACGCAATGCGTTCAAGCGAGTTTTTCGTCGGTCGTAAAAATAAACGTGTTTGAAAACACAAACATGAAACGCTGAAAAAGATGCGTTTTGTATCATGATTCTGCAGAATCACGGTCGCTAAAATTCGATTAAACGGACGGAGTTCTCAATCATGATTGTATGACGGAACCTGTTCCGGTTTGGGCAAAAACCGCGCGCCTGCTTTTCATGCATTTTGCGTTTACTATACCATGCTCTTCATCGTGGCCTGTTCCGTTATGTTATACCTTGTTTTCCTTCTATCTTTTTCTCTTTCTGTCTTTCCTTATGTTGTTCTTTGTTTCTTCCTTCTATCCTTATGTTATTCTTTGTTTTTTTCCTTCTATCACCTTATCTTATGTTATTCTTTGTTTTTATAATTCTATCACTTTCTCTTTTGTTATTCTTTGTTTCTTCTTTCTATTCTTATGTTAATCTTTTTTTTTTCCTTCACTCACATTCTCTTATATGTTATTCTTTGTTTTAATCATTCTATCACTTTCTCTTTCTGTCTTTCCTTATGTTATTCTTTGTTGCTTCCTTGTATCACATTCTCTTGTTCTCTTTCATTATGTTATTCTTTGTTTCTTCCTTTTATTCTTATGTTATTCTTTGTTTTTTCCTTCTATCACCTTCTCTTATATATTATTCTTTGTTTTAATTCTATCCAGGCGCGTACGCAGGGGGGGGGTTTGGGGGGTTAAACCCCCCCCCCCTTGGTAATTTTTTGTGTGTAAACCCCCCCCCCCCCCTTTTGGATTTTTTTTTTTTTTTTTTTTTTAACTATTATTTAAAAAAAAAAAAAAAAAAAAAATTATTCCCATGGCCAACCTAAAAAAGGTGACCTTACCCCCCCCCCCAACGGGTCAAAATGTCAAATTTCCAAATTTCGAGACCAAAAAAAAAAAAAAAAGTGTCCCCCCACCCCCCCCCCCCCCCCCCCCCCCCCCCCCCCCCCCCCCCCCCCCACCCCCCCCCCCCCCCCCCCCCCCCCCCCCCACCCCCCCCCCCCCCCCCCCCCCCCCCCCCCCCCCCCCCCCCCCCCCCCCCCCCCCCCCCCCCCCCCCCCCCCCCCCCCCCCCCCCCCCCCCCTTCAAAAAATCCTGCGTACGCGCCTGATTCTATCACTTCTCTTTTGTTATTCTTTGTTTTAATTCTATCACTTTCTCTTTTGTTATTCTTTGTTTCTTCCTTCTATTCTTATGTTATTCTTTGTTTTTTTAACTTATCACCTTTTCTTATGTAATTCGTTGTTTTAAGCATTCTATCACTTTCTCTTTCTGCCTTTCCTTATGTCATTCTTTGTTTCTTCCTTATATCACATTCTCTTACGTTATTCTTTGTTTTAATAACTCTATCACTTTCTCTTTCTGTCTTTCCTTATGTAATTGTTTGTTTCTTCCTTCCATCACCTTCTCATTCTTTGTTTTATTATTGCGATCTATGCTCAAAACAGCAGTCGACAGTCGGCCGTAAACAATTCCAAAAAGCGCGCGCCGAAGTTGACCTAGACTTACTGCGAGTGTGATGCGAGTGGCTGGGCTCGAATAGAATCAGCGTTGATGGAAAATCGCTTGAACGCTAACCGCAGTGACCTTGTTTATTGTAATGGCGTTTTGATTTGTGATATGGACACATTTCAATGAATATTTACAATCACTTAGATGCGGTAAAATTAGGAAAATTTCATATCAAAATACGTAGAAAAGTATGGAGATACACTAACCCCTATGCATGCTATGCAGCACAGTGAAGGCCATAGCAGCTGTGATAAAGTTTGTTGACCTGTGCAAAAGTCTCGCAAATCGCGGTTTATCGCACTTCCGGGTGTTGTGTAAATTTGGGCAATGAAGTTGCGGACTGACTGTTCAGGTACTCTAGCATCGATCATTCCGCGACATTGTTTAACACACACACACACACGCTCAGCCAATTGAAGGAGGCAGACTTCGAATCAGAAGAAGAAGAAAAATTAGACATCATCATAAGCCTTTACGTGGTGGAGATTAAGATTTGCGTAAAAGATGGAGAATAACGTCAACGAGGAGGTGATGAAGGGGAAAGCAAGGCGGTTGATATTATGGTGTCTTCCCCGTACGGGTTCGACAGCCTTGGCGAAGTGCCTTAGTTTTATCGACGAGGACACCGAGATGTGGTTCGAACCTTTCAACATCTGTCGCATGATCAACATCATGGTCAAGAAAGACATGGGTCAAGGCTTACCCAAAGAATTCAAGGGAAACGAGATGATGTATGAGGCGGTGGCTGCGGGCTTGAAAGACAAATTGAAGATCCCATCAGCGACAATTAATCCGTCTCTCTTGTCGTAAGTTATATATTAATAAAACATTATGGCTTTAATATTATAAAGCACTCATATCGGTCCGACACACTGTGACGCTCACGGCGCTTAAACTTATAAAGAGAAGGTTCATTGAAAATTGAAAAATAGGTAAATTACACCTCTACAGATTGCTGAGAATCATATAGCACTCTCAGTATTTGAAGGCGATTTATACTTAAATTAATATTGTTTTGCTATAATTAAGGGGAGGCCAACCTCCAGGAGAGAGGAATTCGAAATTCCTTTTGAATTTCACTAGTTTAGTTTTCATCTTCATTTCATCTTTATCTATGTACTTCCAGTACACGTTTCTTAGCACATACCTCCAGTCTCCTTCATTCTGCACTGCTTGTACCCTTCTGATACCATGCATAGACCAGGCCTTCTCAACTGGCGGCGCGCGCGCCACTTGTGACGCTTGCGGTCAGTCGGAGTGGCGCGCGACTCATGTTGCAACAACAATTGACGTGAAGTCCTCGTAGCAAAATTGAAATACCCCCTTGCTCCTAGCCTATAATCTAGGCGGAGTGCCGAGCTTTTTTCTTTGCTGCTAGACTAACCTTAAGCAGAACGTCTGATACGGCGAGACTACGAACCGTGAGCCGCAACTCACGATTCGTAGTCTCGCCGTATCAGACGTCCTGCTTAGGGTTAGTCTAGCAGCAAAGAAAAAAGCTCGGCACTCCGCCTAGATTATAGGCTACCCTGCTCCAGGCTTGGATGGAGTTATTATTGGGAGGCTGCCAAAAACCACTGATCCCTAGGTTAACAATGTGGTTTTGCCAGTGATCGTTGCTGGAAGGGAGAAGAGAGATTGACAGATCGCCATAGTAACCACTGACCTAGAGGTCAGTGATAGTAACCCTAAAATGCCTGCACTGAGTTGGGCAGCCGAGCGCGGACGAAGTGTCCCCCTAATAACAATTCACACAGAAATTCCGATGCAAGAGTATTCACTGATAAAAAAAAGTACATGTAATATAAATTAAGATATAACAAGCTTCTGACACAAGACAGAAAATCGTTAAATTATAGTGCAGTGTAAATAAAGAGAACTTTCTTGTTATTATCAATGCGCGGGTGATAAGGGGGTGTTTCAAAACCCGTGTTGAGGACTCAATTTTTATGTATGGGGTTTTTCAACCAGGAAAAACCTGAGGACTGAGAACTTGACCGAATGGGGGAGGGGGTGGCTCCTGGAAAGACATTAATGATTGCTTAAATGAAAAATGGAGAAAAAAGAAAGTGAAACGCAAGAAGGAAGTCTGCAGAGACTGAGGATCGGCGGCCGTGCGATACAGGTATAAAGAAGAAAAAAAGACTAGGCCACTATAGACTGAGAAGGCGAAGAAGAAGAAGAAGAAAAAGACAAGAGCCGCGAACCGGAGAGACAGAGAGAGAGACAGAGAGAGAGGAGAAAATCAATATTTCTGAGAGAGGAAGAGAGAGACAGAGACAAAGACAGAGACGGACACCTGGGGAATGGAGAGACAGACATAAATAAACATGAGGAGAGAGGGATTGAGAGAGAGAACTAGGGAAGGGAGAGATCGATAGATAGAAAGGAGAAGAGAGAGAGAGAGGAGAGAGACTGAAGGAGGCAGCCTAAAAGAAACAGAAACGCTTCTAATAAACTAGTTGAGAAGGCATGCCATAGACCCTACCACGTACTATCACCTTTAATAAATAAACTGCAATCCAATGTATCTGGTAATGATCAGGACGGTCAATATTATACGCCAGATAATTTTGTATCGCAATTTATTGGCATTCACAGAAGCAAATCCTCATTCAGTATCTTACATGTAATGGCTGCGAGAAGCCTCGATAAAAACTTTGAAAATAATTGAAACTCTCCTAATCCTATTAAAGGGAGAGGCATAGCAATTTTTTTAATTTTTCAGTATTTGTTACATTCCTTTTGATTTTTCTTGATTGTTTATTTAATACTCTGCCCGGGCGTTCTGGATCGAGTGGCATGCCGAGGGTCCAGATGAGGACCGTGGACAGGCTTTGAGAAGCCCTGCTCTATAGACTCTACAAATAGATACATTTTGACAGGCATATATTTGTTTGAAATATTTCTTTTTGAGAATGGATATGGGGATATATAGCACATAAAATGTGTATACATCTCTCTCTGTACGATATGTATTATAATAGATCGGCCTTGTATTACCAATGCATGAGTATATTCTTTACCATCAGATATGTAGTCTGTATTACGCGGAAGAAACCTTACGTTGTATGTGGTATACTATTAGTATTACTGGTACATGTAAAGCAAGAGGTGCACACCTTCATACAGGACGATCATAACAATGGAACTATGCAAACACGATAAGGGATGATCGAAGAATGTTACGTCATACATACAACTGTGTATGCTTTAAAGATAAACTCGAGTTGAAAGAAACGGTGTGGAATCGGTCAGTAAACAACTTCATGAGAAATTTGTACGTTATTTTAGACTGGGACTTGCACTTAATAATTAGAGAACTTTTGACTGCACAATACTAATAATGGTCTGATTCTTATACTCACCACTTTATTTTTCTTCCCTTAAAATTAATGAGGAAAGTCATAGCGTTCATTTAGACGAACTTGGGCGACTATCTAAATTTCGGGGGTTAGGGACGACCGCTTCTTAGAATAATTTCCAGGGAGAGGAAATGGAAAGGCCCAAAGTAAAATATCTGTGCATGTAATAACCAACAGTTTACTGCTTTTGTGCAATAGAAGTGTGTAATTATGCGCGGAGCGAGAAGGTTTATATTAAATTTTCTAATATAGTGAAAATTCACTATCTAGAGCACTATAGGGCCTAATTTAAGTGGTGTATTATCGCTTTAATTCACATTTTGGTATATATTTTGTTTATGTTGCATGTACTTTCAAATGTCAAAATTCCGGGGAGATGAACCCTCTCAAAATAAAGATTAAAATGCCGAAGGCCATCCTACTTGCAGTAAAATACTGTACATCATCCCTCAGTATTTGAAATTAATTTCATGACATTTTTGTAAAGCCTGTAGTAATTGGGGTCGGTTGGGGCATGAAAGGAAGTGCCCCTCTTAATGGACATTTTTGTAAAGTGATTTTTGCGTTCAAACTTCAAAGGAAACAGGATTATGGCCTAATGGGAGGGGCGATTGTTATAAAATATTTCAGCCATTGAGCCCTTTCACGAGACGTGTTCATATAATCTTTAAAAGTTTGTTTTTGTCTTCAATCAAGGCTACCATTTGGACTTTAGAGCGTGGACTTGATTCTTTAAATTTGGTTTTTATAGCACCAAACCCGACAAAAAAAAATTAGGAGCAAAAACATGCGCTCTGTAAATGATCGATAAAGCAATACAAGGATCTGTGCAAATCCTACTGAAATTATGGTTTGACGTTAGAATCAATAAAGTCATTACGAAAAGGCTCTCGGGAGAAAATGAAGCACTTTGAAAGGAATTTTTGTCTTTCTGTTTTTTCGTTTTACTTTTTTTCTATCTTTCTTTCTTTCCCTTTTCCTCCTTTTCCGGTAGACAATTACTTAATTCCAGTTTCAACTAATAATGTCATTCCTCACTTTAAAAAAGTCATGTCATTGCACTCCATCATTGATAATCAACACTATTATAATGTAATTAATTGTGTTATGCTAATAACGTATGTTACATCTTGTACATTTTACTCTCCTTCGTATATATCAGGACAACTACCCCTAGGACAATCACCCCCATATTAGACCAGCAAAACAAAAATGGCCCCCTCGGAAAATTACACCTAAGGATTATTACCTCCGTAGGAGACCAAACAAAACAAAACAGGCTCAGCTAGAAAAAGATTCGATGAACAGGGTACCGTGGTTGTACTTGGTTGCGGTTGACCTTGCTAAAACTTTTGCAAAAATACCAAGGAATAAGATACGGGTGGATGCCATGCATTTGTAACTGTGCAAGTTACATAATTATATAGTACATTGCCCTCCTTAAGCTGTGATTTCAAAAGTCCATTTATGGTCCACCTATTATATGTGAGGCATTATTTTAATCAATTTCAGCGTGTTTTCCGTGTAATGAACGAAATAACTATTATCCTGAAAACCTGAAGTGATCCCAGTTTATGGATTTGGATTTACCTTGGGTCTATTATAGGCTAAATCCATGTTCACGCCACTGCATTTTGACTCAGAACGGTTCAACAATTATCATCAACGTCACGTCTCTCAATTTGTTTTTAAAAGTCTATCTAGATTAGAATTTTCAAAAGACAATTTAAAATGAAATGGAATTGTTATGTTGTTCTTTTTTTAATTGCAGATATGCAGGCGTCCAGAAAAGTATTGAGGAATCCGAAAGACGTACTGTCATTGTCAAAGAGATGGCGGTGGCGAGCTTTGATTCCTATAACTACTTTCCAAAGGGATACAGGCACATCTTACTGATCAGGGATCCGACTAGGGTGATATCATCCTTCAGGAAGATGGTCATCGAACCGCGAGGCGAGGAATTCGCCGATGCCGACCTAGAGAAGGTACACCCGACATACCCGACATATCACTGGTTCGGCGAGATGCATGCGTTGTGGAAGCACATGACCAAAGACGGAGGCAACCCGTTGGTCATCGACACTGAAGATTTCTTGGCCAACCCAGCGCCCTTCCTCAAGAAGATCTGTGAGGTAATGGAGGTTGAGTATCGTGACGGGCTCCTGAAATGGGACGCATCAAAAGACGTCATCAATAAGACCTGGAAAAACGGATGCATGGAAATGTTTACTAGCGATCGTGCGGTACAGTCACAGGTTTTCAAGAAGGCCTTTGAGAGCTCAGGATTTGTAGAGACAAACCCGAAACCCCTTCCGCAAAACCTGACCAAAGATTGCATCCGCATTATCGGCCAGTGCGTGGATTTCTACAACGAAATGTATCCACATCGTTTTATACCGGAATAAAGTTAGAGCAGTCTTTCCAATTTGGGCGTATTTAGAATTGTTTTTCTTCCTGAAAGACCTTCGTTTCTTAGGAGTAGGAATGTCAAAAAAGGTAATCCGATATTCGCTCTCGCGACAATGTAATAATGAAATTAAAATTAAAAAGTCAGCTACATCAAACATGTATAGAAAAGAAACACCACAATATATTGAATCATTCAAAAGTGATCTAGCAACAGAAGAATGGTTGGACGTCTTACATGAATCAAATGCAGATATTATGGCATACCAACATTTTAATAAAAAATTACAGATGTATTATGACAAAAAAATTCCTCTAGTATCAGCTAACAAGAAAAATAAGCGTTGTGAAATGCCATGGATAACAAAAGCAATTCTACGATCGATACACACAAGGAACGCACTCTACTATTCATAACAAAAATAAATATAAAACATATGTATAAAATCATTCGAAATTCTCGTAAAATGTAATATTTCGAGAAACTTAATAGAGTGAAATCAAATATAAAATTTACCTGGGAGATTATAAATGATTTGATTGGAAAGAACCTCCCCCCAAAAATAAAAATAAATAAATAAAAAAAAATTTAAAAAAAATTTAAAATATATATATATATATATATATATATATATAAAAAAAAATTTAAATCAACAACAACAACAACAAAAAATCGCCCAATAACAATTTTACAAGAGATGATACAGCTATAAAGTCGGAAGATGTAGCCGATACCTTTAATTCCTAATTTGTAAATATAGGACCTAAATTAGCAAATAAACTTAGACACATTATACATTTTATCGCTTCTCCTGTAACTCTCATTTTTAATCTATCAATAAATACCGGGAAATGTCCCGAGTTCTTGAAAATTGCTAAGGGCAATCCATTTTTTGGTAAAGACAATCCTCTCGAAATAAGTACTACAGCCCTATTTCTATTTTTCCCAGCATATCCAAAATTCTTGAAAACATTAATTACAATAGGCTCTATACGTTTTTACTCCATTTCCTTAATCTAAACCAATATGGTTTTAGAAAAGGACATTCAACCGACCAAGCTTAAGTACAATTATATGATAAAATAACGAATGCTATGGCCAATAAAGAACATGTAATAGGAGTAGGTTAAATAGGAGTATTTATGGACTTATCAAAAGCCTTTGATACGCTTGAGAATTGTACATTCTTGGTGTCAATAAGTACTTAAAGAGTGTTGGTAAATCACATTCAGATGTATGTACGTTTTGTTAAGAATTGTACACTTATTTTGCGAATGCCCTTAACTCGTCGATTCTTAGAAGATTTTGATTACTATACCCTAAAAATGATATTAAGGTAACATTTAATAATTTAACCTTTTACTTCTCATGTGAACTTAACACTGTGTCTTTTGTTGGTCATGCTGTATGTTTCCTAGCTGTGGCCTCAATCAATTATGTAACTAACTTGATTTTTGTGTGTGATCTTTGTCAGTGTCGTGAGAGTAGGAGCTAACGATTTTTCATTACTGTTATTATTGTTATTATTATTTTCAGATTGTTTTCCCTTTTCTATAGGTAAATGACATGTGATTCTTTCTTTGCAAAAGTTATTTTTAATGTACTATATAATAATAAAGCAAAAAATAAATATTTTTTTAAAACAAAATTATATATGTATAACTATGTTTAGTATGTTCACAAAAAGGATGTGTCGTTTAAATATCAATTATTTCTATACTTTGTAAAATTGTGTGCCGAGTGTGTCAATGCAAAAGGGTTTTTTAAATTGTTAATATTTTTTTTAATGTTATGACCAATACAGTCACCTAATAAAATTAAAAAAATGTTTATTACATATTCTTAATTTATGTTTTTGATACAAATTTCTTCATGTAGAGATGGAAATGGAGTTAGTTAATTAAATACTAAAGTGACTATCATAGTTTTAGCTCTTGAGACCTGCATTTTATGAATCTTTATGTTCTCCCCTCCTTTTAAGTTAACAAAGACATGTACCAATTTGCCCTGATAACATGGGTGTCGATTTGTATCCGTGGTTGGGGGGATGATAGGTGCCAAAATATTTTCAGCAATGGATCAAAGCAACCAAGAGGTAGAAGCGTGTGGCAGGTTGCACCCCTCCCTTCCAAGTTATTAACTTTTTCAAGTCACCCTCAGTAAAGATAACATTTCAGAGAATATATGAGCGGTAATAAAATTAATAACATGCTAAATATTAGTCATGACTCTTGCCTGCAGTGTAGGCCTACCAGACTGATATCATCAATTTTTAATCGAAATTTAGACATTACCAACAACAAAAATCCAAAGGTGAGGGATATCAACTTGTGAAATTATTATGTTACCAGTGGACAAATGCATTAATAAGCAACAGGAAAGGTTCATGTAGACAGAAAATCCTTTATTTCATGGTGATAGAAACATACATTTTATGAATATTGAATATGAATATAATTTTGAGGTTAATGCATGGTCAGGAATTAGGTTTTATACACTGTTGCTCATATCGTTGGAATTTTTTGTTGTTACCCCAATTTATTGAATTATTTTGACAATGATGTATTCCTAATAGATCTAGATAATAGTACATTATACCCCCCCCCCCCCGGGGGGGGGGGGATCGACACCCATGCCTGATAACTAAACTAACTATCAAGACTCTCTCTCTCTCCTTTTTCTGCCTCCTTCTCTTTTAACTTCTTTTTTTCTTTTTTTTCTGTTCTATTTTTTTCTCTTCCAGTCCCCCTAATTAGGCCGCCAAAGGGGGGGGGGGGCAGGATCCACCACTGCTATAGACACATGTCCTTTTTGGTCCTATTTTGTCATGCCCCGTCATAAAACTTATAACAAGAATTATTCAAAACAACTATAGGTCTGAGATTAACAGACAAGCTTAAGAAAATATGACCAAGATGACGATGAATGACCAAGATGACCTCGGACAAGGGAGAAGCAGTACAGACTAAGTTTAATGTCATATCTGAACCTCGGTTTGCCCGATTGCACTGGTGTACCAATCAATTTAAATAATAGCTAGACGTCACATACAAACATATATGCAACGCAATTAATGTTAAAGACAGGTATTATAACTAGACAACAACCATTCCAATAATCTATGACTTTTTCATCATGTTAATACTAGGTAAAAAGAAACTTGGCAAAAAACAACTTAAAACCTTTTCCCCACTGCACTTCCTGGATTTCGTAAGAAGTTTGTAAAACAATAATCACAGGACGTCTTTAAAGTAGCTGTGCGAAGATTTTAAAAACTCACTTTATTTTCATTGTTTTAAAGGTGGAACTTTGATTGGACAATTTTATCAAAATTCAGTGCTTGGAAACATTCGAAATAATGCCTATTATCTATTACAAAACGCTTAAATACAGCCCCGGCATAGCACATGGAGAGCTCTCCGAACGCTGCTGAGATGTGCGACATCACAGGTTGCGCATGATTTGCACAAGCAAATTATAAGAGGTGAATGGGCAGAGGTGATAATGGGCACTTCTTGCACCTGAAAAGGGGCACTCACCTGGGATAATAGAAAGGGGCATATATTACAAAGGAAAATTGGCACATGTCGTAGGATAAGGGGGTATCTATGATATTTTAATAGAGGCATTTACCAGAGGTGTGAGTAGGGACATTTAGGGTGAGTGGCTCTTATTTAAAAAGTAGCATTTATCAGGGGAAAAAGGGCACCTATTAAAAAAGAAAAAAGGACTTTTAAAAGTAGAATAGGCCCCTCTTAGATTTGAATAGAGCAATTATCAGAGGTAAAAGGGCACTTATCAGAGCTGGTAAGAGGCACTTAAAAGAAATGGAACGAGCACCTATTTGGAATTTTAAAAAGGGGCGCCCATCTGAAATGAAAGGGGGCACCTTTCCTTTGCAAAGAAGGGCTCTTTAGGATTTGTTTACCTGACTATAAATTTTAGAATTTACATGTCATTTTCCAACAAACGGAAACAACTATATAATTTACGAAAACAGTGATAACCCCCCACCCCCGGGAAAATCACTTCAGCAACATTTTTTATTTGGAAATTCAAACCTTTGCAGTACATGTACGTAACATAACAGGTTTCTTTTAAACGCAATATAACCCTCAGTACAAACAAATAGCTTGAAAAGTAATAATGTCCTTTAATTGTCACTCTCCACCTAGGTGTGAGTAGGACCCCGGTAGGAAGAAATCCGTTTGAATGACTGTGAGCAGCAGATGGCAGTATACGTAAATCTGAAGCAGAACCATCTATAGATGGCTTTGATCTGAAGTAGTGTCGGTAGAACACCCTGCCTTAAAGGGACTTGGTAACATTGTTCAGATGAGAGATAGTGGTGCTAAGGTAGTGACTTCAATGCTAGATGTACAATTAAAGATAATCTGAAAATTTGAGTGAAAACGGACCATTATTCATAGTACGAATCGAGAAAAACTGATCTGATCGATTCCTTAATTCTCCCAACTATGTTATTACAATTTAATTACATTTTAGGTGAATGGAAATCGTCACAAAGCAATAAAATGGCTTTACAGTCCATTCCAGACATTTAAGTGTTGACAGATTTTTTATAGCCTGTTTTATGTCTTTTTTTATGGAAAAACGGTTGGGAAAATCCAAAAATGGTTGGGAGAATTTACTGTTAATCACTGTTAGAGGGTGTCATACATCGAGTCCTTCAAAGAAAACTATAGATATCTTCGTGGTTTGAAGAAAAAATCAGGATTTTTGGCATTTCAGAGGGTTAGTACAGTAGAAGGAATATAATAAAATTTTATACAAAAATTAAGCAATTTTTTCATCAACCTTCAACAATGTTACCAAGTCACTTTAAAGGTACTACATCCCATTTGCAGCCAACATCAAATTCTGTAGAACTTTGCAGGAATTATGAATATGTCATGTATGTCCTATCTGTGGAATTTAAACGTTAGCAGTGTCCTAATATTCAAATTATGCAAGCAAACCCGTTTACTTGCTAGACTTCACTGTCGGACACTATTGAGTGACTGTCTGGCTTTTTTTTTCTTTTCTTCTTTGATAATTACATACAAAAAATGAGCTGTAAAGGGTACATGAGCATTTGTCTACATCAATAACCCACTTCTTGTAATGGCCAAAATTAAACCGATTAAATCTTTGCGCAGCCTAAAACGTATGACCATTTGGTAGAATGGTCCGACAAAACAGACTGTTACTAACTGGCTCTATATAGCTCTGAAGTCGATTCGACAACTAATAGTCGTTATTTTCCTACTTAAAGACATTTTTAAGCCCCCCTCTTTTTAGGGAAGTTCTAAATTAGTATTATCTTTCAAATGCCGTTAGAATTTAACCTTTTCATTTTTGGCCTGCAAATGGGACAATACCTTTAATAATGGCAATACCCCCATCGTTTTGCCTGTAGGAATCATGTTCCGATTACGCATCATGTCATTGTCATCTTCGCACGTTGCAATATGTGAAGTACAAGGCTATCACTATGAACATGGCTGACAAAGAAAGCGGACAAAATATACAGTTCCTCAGTTAGACAAAGGAACTTCCCCTCACTGCTATTATGTAAAAAGGTGAATATGCATGTGACACCTGTTCTACACATTTGTACATAATAGCAGTGAAGGGATGTTCCTTTGTCTACCTGAGGAACTGTATATTTTGTCCGCTGTCTTTGTCAGTCATATTCATAGTGTATTTTAATTGCCTTAGGTCGATTTTTGTTAAAGTCTTGGCGATCGTATTAGAAATGAATCACGTCAATGGAAAACAAGGTATAATTTATTATTAAATTTATTTAATGTTCCATTATTATTGTACTTTTCAGGAATACTAATATGCAGAATACTGAATATACTGAATATGAATATCGTTTCAAATTATTTGGACATTTTTACATCATAAGTTGAATGTTCAAGTAAAAATGTGTATGTTGATGAGAGGAACGAAAAATCAGAAGTACTACTGTGTTATAGCATTAAAAATATATATATTTTTATACATTTATAAAAACAAAGATTAAGTGATTTCGTATCATCATTTCATATCTGTATGTACATCTGATCTAAAAAACAGAATATTGATGATTATTTGGTAAAATCTAGATTCGTTATTCATTATAGTTTGAACTAAACATTTTGGCCTACGTCGGCAGTCCCAATTAATGAGGAGGTAATGTCAGTAAGGGTTTAACTTGGAGGATTCATAATTGTTTATATAGTGTATTATGTTCGATTAAATATTTTGCAATAAGAATGCTGATATATTTTGATATACTATGACAAAAGAAATCTTTAAAAATTCCAAATAGCCTCTACAACAAGGCAAATGACATTAATTATACAATGGCTAACAAAATATTGTATCATAGTCTAGTCGAATATGTAAATGGTCTTAAAGCGAATGATTTAATAAGCTTTTTAACTCCAAAAGCAGCAGCAATCCTGAAAAGCATAACATTCGTAACATTTTTATACCAATTGTATCATAGTCTAGTCGAATATGTAAATGGTCTTAAAGCGAATGATTTAATAAGCTTTTTAATTCCAAAAGCAGCAGCAATCCTGAAAAGTGTTGACATACATTTGTAACATTTTATACCAATTTAGAAGTACATTTGTGTCAAGAGATATCATCTTTAAAAAACTTGAATAAACGCCGATAGCTGGTTATAGAACATAAACTATTATAACCAACACTAATCAGGCCTATGGTAGCAAATTAGTGCAAGTGCCTTCAATTCAAGGCACATTGTTTTTGCAGTCTTCATTTTTCATTTACTTTGTATACGTTATCACTGTCACACAAGTCAAGGTGCATTAAAGAATGCACCAGTCGCTGACATAGTTCTACGTTAGTGTATCGTATTAACGCATCGTATCGAACAGGTACAAACGATGACCCCTCGTCTCCCAACAGACACAACACCTAATTTGTTTATACCGTAAAAACCTTAGAACTCTATATCACGTAATCCATAGATATAATACATTCTTATATCATAACATATAACACATAATCATAAGAGCTATGCAACCTGAACCCCTGGGGGCGTTTCATGAAACAATTAGTCGGTGGTTGTCACCAAATAATATCATTTTCACCGACAATTTAGTCAGCACTGACTAAATTTGACCAATCAGAGGCCTGGAAAATAGTAGTTGACTATTGAATTGTCGGTGAAAAGGATATTAGTCGGTGAAAACCACCGACTAATTGTTTCATGAAACGCCCCCCTGATCTTGTCGTTCCTGCACATCATGGCATAATAATTCAAATCTGTCTTCGATCGAGGATCAGACATTTTATTTTGCCTGTACAATCCGGACTTGTATAAATATTTCGGAAACCTACATGCATTTGGTTAACCTAGACCCGGACAAAGACCTGTATACATGAATATAATTATATAAGATGCGAAAAATAGCGTACAGTTTTTTTGGGTTCGAAAAGTGTTCATTAAATTGACGATGAGGGGTTCGATATCGTGTTCGACGTCCAGATTTCATAAGACTGACTTCCCCGCCAACTCGTCTGTCGTGCCGTAGAGGTCGTTATAGTCCATTCCGTTCGTTTCGGTCATTTCTCTCAATCCACCAGCTGCTCCATTGGTCTCTGTCATTTCTGGGGTCTCTTCCATCTCGACGTCGAAGTCGTTGGTGGCGTAGATGTTGCTTCTGGTCCGCTCAAGGCGATCGGCCAGCAGCACAGGGTCGGTAGCGACCCCCTGTGGCAAAATACCAAGACAATCAACGAAACTTCAAGGATTTGGTTATTTTTTAACCTTTCGTTTTTCACAATAATTTTTAAGTATTCCTATTGTTATTATCTTTATTATCATTGACGCCTTTCGGTGTAAGCAAAGTTAATATCGTTATTAGTATGATCAAGTTTATATTTGTTATTATTTTCTTTTTTGTTAAAATATTATCATTATTGTTATTATTATTATTATTATTATTGTTTTTATTATCATCATTGTTATTATTATTATTATTATAATAATTATTGTCATTATTATTATCATTATCATTTTTATTGTCATCATCATTGAAATACTAACATGTCTGCTTGCTCCGACTTGTCTTATCTTACTGGGTTCCTTGGCCCCGATCCCAAAGATACTTCGTCTGCCTGGATTGCTGCAGATGACAGCAAGGATGACGATGATGATCAGGAGAACGACACCGGCTACCGAACACCCGATGATGATAGGTAAATTGTTGGGCATCGTTAGGGCACCTATATGCAATGAAAAAATAGGGCCATTTTATAGAATACCCCACCATTCAAATTAGTAACTGCTGCTCTAACCCGTATCCTGATCCTATTCCTCACCCTAACCCTGATACCATCTTCTGATGCGTTTTGGGGGTATTCGACACTTCAGCGGTATCAAGGATTCAAGGATACTAGTAATATTGTTATTATTAAACATAGTAACAATACAACAAATTATAATAATTATAACAATAATGAAAATAATGATAATAGAAGGAGAAGGAGATGAAGATGATGAAGAAGAGGAAGAAAAAGAATGAAGATAATCATAGTATGGTCTTCTTTACCCAGTGCAGCCTCATCACTATTGCTCCCGCTCTTTCAGAGGGCACTTCAGCCATTATTACTGCATCATCGCCAGGTAATAACTTTAATAAACTTCAGTCGAGAAGGACAAACGTGATTAAAAGTCTCCGAATATGGCTTGTAGGCACTGATCAAGGATCGAAGTCAGGATATCTCGTGCAAGAGTCAAGAACCCTAACCAATATACACCAAAATACTTTTATGAATCCACAGTGTTCCCACCGTCACCGACTTTATTTCCATCACTTTCCATCGGATTAATACCGTTAGGATTTTCCCTCTTAAAATTCCTTTGCCATGGTAATACTAATTCCAGGGCCCTCAGGAAGAACAGTAAAACAGCGACTACTCCGAAACCGCGGCAGATATAACATTTTCCTTTCATGACTTTTTACTTTCGAGTCTTACGCATCTTTTAAAATAATTTTTTCGAAAATCGGACCTACGGTTACAAGGTCACGTGACCTTTTGTCTTCGCATGTCAGCCCGAAAATCGCTCATTTTCATGATTTGTGTACAAAACATATGTAAAAGTCATTTTTCCTAAAAATAGATAAAACATTGGTAATTCAGTCTTGTTTAAAGTTTAGATGTTTGTTTTGGGGTCAAAATAGTTGAATTGTAGTTATAAATAAAATAAAACAACAAAAACAATAAAATACATAAGTTAAAAAAACAATGAAACACATAAGAAATTATAAAAACAAGAGATAACATAAGGAATAACCTGGCTCTTCCAATTTTTAGTGTTGTATTATTATTCCAAATGGTCTAATGAATATATGTATTGAAAAAGAATAGGTAAACATGAATAATCTATGCTTTATGGGCAGAAATGTGAGTTTGATGACCTTATTTGCATAAATTACCATAAATATGCAAATGAGTGAATTTTTCAAAAATTTGAAATTACCGTAGTATTCTATACACTTCACTTGACATGCATGCAAATTTTCGCGGCGATCGGCGTTGAAACGGCCGAGATCTTAGGGGGGGGGGGGTCAAATTGACCCCCCCCCCCCAGTAAAAACCTGGTCTGAAATAGCCCAGTTAAAATAGGGTTAAGGAAGGAGAGAAAGAATTTGGTGAAAGACACAGACATCACTTACCTGCTGTTGTTAACTTGATCGCATTGGTAGACTCTGCAAATTAAAAGTGAGATATAAAGTAATGGAAGTGTGATTAATTAACTTGTCATTTTAGTTCATCTACAAAAATACATGGAAACATAACAAAGAAAAGTTATTAAAAGTTGATAAAAACATTGGTGATGAGTTATAACCACACACCCCCACACACCCACACACATAGAATCATCCTCGCCCATACATCTACAACTCTCTTGCATTTGTGCTTTGTGTTTTAGGATTGAAAACCTACCGGGTTTTTTTTCTTCGAATGAAAATAAGATATAATTTGAAGTATGGGGAAATGAATACAAGAGAAATAAGAAATTCTGTAAAATGTAAGTGATAGAAACTGCAAGAGACCTGACGACGCAGGAAAAAGAAAGGTGGAAAAGAGGGAGGAAAGTTAAGGAGATGAACAAAGAGAAAGTGAAAGTGAGATGGTGAAGGAGAGTTTGAGCAGGGGCTGCGGCACAAGGCATAATAATTGAGGAGAAATCTATTGTCTTTAATGTTGTGACATTTTCACATCTACACTCGCCATGCTTGCTATCATTACAGAGATTGATCATTATCAAATCATCTTACCAGCTGTTGACTCCATCGCATTGGTTGGCTCTGCAATACAGAAGCAACACAATAAATACATCATTAAAGAAAACAAAAATAAAATTGAGACTTATTTACAACAAACCACCTTCGATATATATATATATATAAATATTACCAAGACCATTAGCATCAACTTCTGGTAGAAATTGATTTCAAAGTGTACCATATAAATATAACTATACCTTATTTATTAACACACATCATTTTCATTAGAGAGAGGGATACATAAACACACAGAGGAAGAGGAAGGGTTAGACTCCCACCCTCCGAATAGAAAACGTTATGTTAGTAACAATTTAGGTGAATCTATGTGATATAATCTTATAATAAACATTCATATCATGATAATTAGATATATGCACATTTATATTATGAAGGTTATTAAGCAGATTAGAGATTTCAATGTAACAAAATTACCGGAACCCAGAGTCTGTGAGGTTGTCGATGATGACGTCGTCGTTTCACTTTGAGTGACGGATATGGCTGGAGTGGATGTCATGGACGTGACGGGAGTGATATTGTCTGTTGTGACGGAATTCGAATTCATCGTTCCTACTGGGTCGGAAGATGTGACCGTAACAGGAACGGAAGTCGTGGATGTAACAGGAATGGTAGAGGAGGATGGAGTAGAAGAAGAAGTCATGGATGAAACAGCAATGGAAGACGAGGATGGAGTTGGCACAGACGGCATGGATGAAACAGTAATGGAATTCGTGGATGTAACAGACATGGATGACGAGGATGGAGTTGCAGAAGAATTTGTAGCTGTGATAGGATGCAGGAATTGAAATCATGGTTTTGACAGAAGTAGAAGATGTTTGTTAAAGAAGGGAAGCGCTGTTATGAATGAAACGGAGCTTGAATTCCTCATCTTTCACTTGAGTGAGGAGAGCATTAGATGAACATGCAGAACATGGTTGTGTATGCATACATACATAATCGTGCATAACTGTTTACATGTATTTTTCTATTAAATAACATTCAAGTACACACCCATCTATGCCCATGGAAATAACGCATATATTATTAAAATATTGTACGCAAAGACACATCGTTTTGAGTCTGATTAGATACGGTGGATATATAAACATAATTTGTTAAAGAATTAATAATACGTATGGATTAATGATGAAAATCCCTCAATGAGCGTTAAAACGTGATAACATTAACTGACCACAAGGATTACACAAAGGAATCGTATGCTTTCAAAGACATAAGGTTAGAGTGCAGTATCATGATTTAGTGATGATGAAAACCCAGCATAACAACACATGAATGAATTACATGACAAATTATTAACGTGTTTCATGGGTGGCTGTGACCAAAGAAGTAAAAAGGCCATTGATTAATGATCAGTGGATAACCAAACGGAAACGGTTAATGAATTACATGCCAATTAACATATTATGCCCCCAGAAAAGCAATGATAAATATGAATTAATGCATGAGCATGTGCAGCTAGTTCTTACCTTGTGGAGTAGGTGTCTGTGGAGCTGTAAACGAGCAACAAAACAAATATGAACTATTACTAATTGGTTGTACAATCAATCATAACAATGAAGCATTTATTGTTTATTTATAATTCGAGAGAAGTGATAGGCCTATTATACGCCAACACTAGAACCATGTCATTCTGATAAAATATATATTATGCCATAATTTTTCCATTTTATATCCATCTTTCAAATTACACCTTGTTGTTTTTCAAAAGAAATCTATAATGCAAGCATTTTGGGCTGCATTTTACAATGTACTTTTATCTTGTGAATTTATATCATCACTTACAGTTTTTAACTACAATTGATAAAGAAACAAGTACGCGTGGTCGGGTGGATATGTCACCGAACTGTGGATCACGGTCCGCGGTTCGAGGCCCGCCGCGGCACTAATGTCCTTTGGCAAGAGTGACAATTTTAATCTACATTTGCCACACTCAACCCAGGTGAGGTAAATAGCTACCGGGTAGGATTATTCCTTGAAATGCACTGTGCGCTGATATCGGCTGCCGGAGCTAAAGCTAGTGTAATCATTTCCAAAGCTCTTTGGAAGCGCATAGCGATATGTGCTATACAAGAACTGAATATTATTATTATTATTAAATATGATATGCTTTGATACCTGTACCATATGAGTCAGAGATCAAGCAGTAAGAATTAGCACATATCAATCAGACATCGACAAATTGTAATATCTAGGCCTAATTAGTGACATTTTATTTAAAGGTAATACAAAGTTTTGGTATGGGGTCATGAATTTGGTTCAAATGAACATATTGGAAGCATATGTGACCCTACAATATTCAGTGATCGTTGTCGCGGTTGAAATCGATTCTAAAGTTATGAAATTATGAATAATAAACTCTTTATGTTGTTTAGCTCCCTCTCAAGGTCAAGATATTAATTAAGCTATACCAATATGTTTCTTGACTAAAATCGACCGATTAGCTATTCCCGTTTGGAAATTATATATCACAACTACATATTCTGAAATGTTCATGGTCGCACCTACCATTGTACGGCCGTACGGCGTTAATTGAAATTTATCATAATTTACCGGGAGCACCGGTAAATTTTTATATTCAATTTTTCTCGAAAGCAGAAGTGTTTTAGGGGCTAAAATTTCTAGTGCTTATATTACATCCACAGGGGCATCCAAATATATCAAAATTGAAAAGAATCACCACCATCCAATTTTCAAAAATTCCCAAAACTTTGTATTACCTTTAATGTACATGTATAACAATTCCGTGATATTATCTGATGGAGTATGATAGAAAAGTATGATGGCAAAAAGAAATGGGGTTTGCAAAAATGTTAAAATTAGAATGTATATTTTTATGAGCAAATAAAATTCGTCGTCATTGCCATACAATTAGATCAGTTTCAAATAATATTCTTATACATAAGTTTGTGGACATCACACCTAACATATGTTTTGTGAAACCGTCGTCGAGACCCACTCGAAGAATAGGCTATGGCGTTCAACAAAGAATTTTTTCTCGTCATATTAACAAGAAGACTGAAACCGAATAATATGAAGTTAAGCTGATTGAAAAAAGCACGCAAAATAAAGAACTCTGATTGCTAAAAGAAAACTTTGTACGTGTATTTGGCTGATAATAATTAATGTACAGATAAAACGGTTTGTTCAATATATTTTGCATACCTATTTCAATTGTAACGTTGAACGAACACGACGCATTGTTTCCAGCACTGTCAAAGGAAGTGAAAGTGTACGTTGTCGTTCCTATAGGATAAGACATATCCCTTATGAAGGGTTGGAGTGAAAAATCTACTACGGGTTCGCCAGAGTTATCAGAACTGCTTTTGAGCTGGAATGTGGAATCCACTGAGGTGTGATCCTGGTAAATGTCATCTGGACAGACGATTACAGGGGGCTCCCGATCTGTTAGTGATAAATTATGGAAACAATAAACAAATTTGGATCATAGCATCTAATTCTCACATGGTGCATCCGCAAGCCTACTGTATATCTAATTCCATTATGACGTTTTCTATTGATGTCACACTCAATAATTCGGATATTATTTAAATCTTAACACATCCAATGGTGTCAAGAAACAAAACTCGTTCTTTAGATTACATTTTGCATGTAGTAGGTCAGAGGTAGTGTGATATTTACTTGCAGCATCAATTTGAACAGAGAATGTCATGAAGCTACTAGCTACTTGACCGCGCTTTTGCAAGTTTGAATCTTTAAACCAGGGTAATGAAACACAATCACACGTGGAAGTAGCCATCTAGACATGCATTCAAGAATATCAGTAACAAATCATTTAGTTTGGGAAGACAAATTGGAAGTCTATCGTAATACCCAAGGTGCACCCAAACGTGTGACTGACACTTTAGGTCTGTATTGAAACTGACTTCATATGACTTTATTTCAGGTATCTGAAACCTTACCTTCTACAGTTACCCTTGCTTCTGTACATGACTTTGAGAGTGTCCCATCTGATATAATAACGTTGACAGTGTGTGCTGATGGTGAGATGGCTAGTTCAGGACTGCTAGAGCTACCCCCGTAAGTTCTCATCATCGTGATACTTCCATAGGGATCATACGTCGTAGACTCAGGTAGATACGTGACGATGAATTGTGGGTCTTGGTAAGTGTAGAAAGGTTCACCAGAATCTGTCCCGACGGTTAAATCCACGGGTGTCATTGGGCAGACGATTGGAAGATCTTGTACTGTAGGCATACAAGGTAAGAAATGACGTTATACCATGGAAATGTAGTTTTTATAATCTACAATATTTAAAGTAAGACAAAATTGGTATATAATAAGTTGTCATCAGTCCAATTTATCTTCCTAAAAATAATTTTAACCCACCTAAATATCATTCAAAATTGTTAGCTGGACCGGCCCAACTGTCCTCGGCTCAATATTTGTTTGCTGGTTATAATTCTTATAAATTTTCCCGCCATTGTTTTACTTAGTAATAACCCCGGTAAATAGACAGTATATACAGTGTATAAGGCTTATCCATCACAGGCTATCGAGATTAGGGCAAGCACGGATTGAGATACCAACGGCATTATCATTTGTCAACTCATTTGAATATGTGTTAGTTTGAAGAGTACAATAATTTATATTACGATAGTCTATGTTTGTACATGTATTTTAACTTTGTTGATAATTATGTACCTAGTTTGTATATTAATTTTTTATCAATATGCTGACAAAATAATGCAGAAATAAAATCAAACAAACAAATTATCGATTCCCGTTGCACACGAGGTGTCCTAACGATTGCCTCATCAATACGTACACTGATCAAGAAAATGAGGGCAAATAGTGCATGTGCCAGTAATTCAACATTAAATATTAATTTTGCTTCCACTTGCTGTAGGATCAGACAATGGGCGTGACGTGAAAAATGCGGCTAGTTTTCCATTTTCGTGGGTCACCTCCTGCAACCACACAATAGCACGCACATTTATTTGTGCTGAAACCAATTATGAATGTTGCCATCCCTAAAAAGTGCGCCCTGTAAAAAAGCGTTCTTTGATGCCTATTTATGTGTACCATTTACACTACAGTCCCATGTATTGTTTTCCTGTGCCCTTAACAACATTCCTTGCCATCTAAACTTTTAAATATACATCAAAAAACTTACAAAAAGATGTTTTGAGATTTGTAGAGCAATCTTTTGTTTGGCCATGTCACAAAGTGAAGGAAAGTCGGATTGTCTCAGGTATTTTATTACAATTGTTCTTGTTATAGAATAAAAAAAAAAGTGTCAATGAACAGTATCATTTTGTATTATATTCCCTCAGTGATCCAGTTCAATATATACATGGCAACCAGATGCATTTCATATTTCCTGCGATCAAGGGGGCACTGGCACTCATGAATGGCAAGGGCATCGTTCTAACTTGAGAATGAGATGCGAATTAACAAGGCAAAATAATGTTCTGTGTGAGAGGTGGTCCTATTGTCTCCTTTCTTTTCTTTTCTTGTTTTGTTGTTTTTGTCCCTCTGATCTTAGAGGGAAAAAATTGCTTATGAAGAGGGAAGAAGAATATCCCCCATTTTCCTGCATACATGCCACTGGTTACAACGATTAAACAAAACTTCATCCTCCAAATCCTCCTGCAACATACACACTATAGATTAGCACATTTATTCACAGAACCCGCAACAACCATAACAATATTACAAAATACATACATTCCGATACGTATGCAACTACAGTTCAATAATCAATCGACAATGGCGTAGCTACCAGCAAAAATGGAAGGGCTTAATATGCAAATGCCCCTCCCTTTCCGGCTTACCCATATTGAAAAGCAACAACGTGAGAGAAAAAATTAAGTGTTCTGTTTTGCTAAATGTTTGATGTAACTTATTTTGATTGTATATATAGTTTGATGATTGAATAAATAAATGAATTGAAAAAAAATGAAATGAGTGAAAGATAGCAGAAGATAGAAAACAGAAGAGGGAAAGGCAATGAATGAACATAATATGACACTCTCCCCTAACTTCATGGCCGTGTTCTCTAACAGTTTATCTACATTGTAAGACCAGTTTCATTCAAAAGCTGGACCCAATCTACGCCACTGTTAACCAACAATCTCAACATACACACTCATATCTAAATACAATAACAAACATAGGCTTTCATCATTCATGTAAGTCACATACATACATTTCGCCATTGCCATTTTGGCGATTTCTTCCTAAAGTACATCGAAGAAGGAAATAAATCTTTGACACCTGACTTTGGTTCGTACAACTTTTCTTTGAACTGTAATGATGAACATGCATGTACTTCATAATAATCCATCAAATGTAAACAGGTACATTGCACTTCTTTAATTTTTTTAATTTCTCCAATATGAAAATTCTTTACTTGATAAAACTGAGCATTCTATATATGTATAGCAGAGAAAAACAAAACAAAACAAAGTGCTAGCTATATGATTGATTGATCTTGATTTAAACAAAAATCTCCATTTCAATACATGTACTTTAATTTCAAAAATATCAATCCTACTATCACGGTACGATGGTTATAAAATACTGCGATGATACACACAAATAGTGAGTTCTTTGAAACAATAACTTCTCACATTATATGTAGTTGTTTGAATGATAAGCATCTTGTGTTCAAATCAGTATGTTCCTAAATGCTTCACTTTTTTGTAGAGTGGAAGTACACGAGTATGACAGAGACAATGTTTGCATGGTATATCCAAGCTTGTAGAATTCTGCTGATAATAAACTAGCATGGCATCATGATAACACAGGATAAAGTGTTTAAATGGTTTTCAAAGTGCTCTATGATACATTAATGAAAACGGAACTACTTAAAAATGAAAGTTAATATGCCAATGAAAAAACTACATGTAGCAGTAGATATTATATGAAACAATATGCCAAACAAGTTTAGCATATTCCAGTCGGTTATTGTGAAGAATGATATACACAACTATATCATAATTTTATCCATTATAATGATGAGAATGCTTTGTCGTTGATGAGACATGGCAACAGGAAATTTTTAATGATGAACTGAACTATTTACAGCTGAACTTGTTCTAGATGGATAAAGAGAGAGAAATGCATGTAAGAAATCTGTTCATTACAATGGAAATCTTCATTCCTTACAAACAAAGAGTATACATTAATGAGGATAGAACTCGCATGCAGTATGATAATCTAAATGATAATATATGGCACACTAGGTACAATGTAATTGGAATCATATAAGGATTGATGCTTTAAATGAATCTTAAATTGATCGATCTTCTCTCAACAATCTAACGATCAACATTTGGGAATTGTTTTTACCCATCTTTCTTTTGTTTTTATTACACAGAGTGTGGGCCTATATCAGATCGTAGAGTGTGCGATGGTCTTAACTCATTCGCAACTTTTTTTTCTCCACATGTTGTGGTTTGTGTCAATAACTTAACATTTAGAGCCCTTAAGACACTGGCGTACCTATGGGGGGGCAAGGGGGGCAGAGTGCCCCCCCTGACGGGCTCCAGGGGAAAAAAAAAGAAAAAGGGGAAAGAAAAGAAAAGAAAGGAAAAGGGAAGAAAAAGAAAAAAGGAAAAGGGAAGAAAAAAGGAAAGAAAGAGAAAAAAGGAAAAAAGGAAAGAAAAAAGGAAGAAGAAGAGAAAAGGAAGAAAAAGGGAAAAGAAAAGGAAAGGAATAAAAATGGGGATTTTTTTTAAAAAAAAGACCATGGCCCTACGCACCAGGGGGGGGGGGGAGGCAGTTGACCCCAGATATTTTGAAAACATACAGTTTTTTCCTGAAAATGTAGTGTAGGCCTATACCAAATCCTTCAATTCTACTTTTGAAAATATACCCTCATGACCACTTCGGTCGCTCAAACTCCCTTCACTCCTTTTGCTTTTGAGATTCTTCGAAAACTTTTAACGCATCTTTCCCCCTCCCCCACCAGAAAAATATTCCGCATACGGCCCTGAAAAATTAAAACAAATGAAAATAGGAAAATATAAGTGATATAACAAATTTGCAACTATTCGCTGGCGCGAACTGCTTGCTAGCCTATTTTGTATTAAATGTTTTCACTTGCTCGTCCCCCTGAAAAAAGAAAAGGATTAGTATTGCCTAGAATACAATTGTCCGGGACAATTGTGCCTGCCTCGACGGGCCCCGACCTGCAACCATGGCAACAATAACACACACTATAGGTACCAAATGTTACTAAAAGAGACTAATTCATTTTTCTCGCTCGCGAATAAAATGAATAGACATTGCTTTGGAAACAATTGTGCCCACCCTTGACCTGCAACAATATCATTAAAAATGGAAGAGTTTTTTCGCCCTCTCGCCAAAAAGGAATTGAATCGCGTTAAACGCGATTGCGTCCATCCTGACCTGCACCAATAAAAACAAGTTTATTTATTAATTTCTATTAAAAGAGAATTTTTTTTTTTGCTTGCTCGCTATGCTCGCTCGCCAAAATGGAATTGACACCGCTAACGTGCCCGCCCCAACCTGCAACAACCAGTTAATAATTATGTACCAAACGTTATTCAAAGAAGTTTTGGTGTGCTCGTGCTCGCCAAAACGGAATTAACATCACCTAGACATGATTGTGTAAGCCCTGCCCTGCAACAAAAAAAATCTGAAATTTATGAACCAATTATCATTACAAAAATTTTGCTCGCTCGCTACGCTCGCTCGCCAAAATAGAAATAACACCGCTTTTAATTATCACGTCCCTGACATGGAACAATGAACCCAAGTTTATATACCATATTTTCCCTACAAAAGGGAAGTGATTTTTTTTGCTCGCTCTTTTGGCGCCAAAATAGAAATAACACCGCTTTTTAATAATCACGTCCCTGACATGGAACAATGAACCCAAGTTTTATGTACCATATTTTCCCTATAAAAGAAAAGTGATTTTTTTTTCGCTCGCTACGCTCGCTAGCTCGTGGAATTATGTGCCCACCACTAACCTGCTACAATATCATTAAAAAGAGAAATGTAGGGGGTTGCCTGCCCGCCAAAATGGGATTGACATTGCCTTAAACACGATTGTGCCCGCCCCCTACCTGCAACAATGAAACAAATTTTATATAGCAATTCATTTAGAGAATTTTCGCTCGCTAGCTAAAATGGGTATAAAATCACCCTAAACACAATATTGTTCCCGCGCCCTGCATGGGACAATTGAACCAAGTTTAAGTGGCATTTATTAAAAAAGAAGTGATTCTTTTTCTAGCTCGCTACACTCGTTTGCAAAAAAATGAAATTAAAGGGGAAGTCCACCCTGAAATTAAGTTAGTTTTAATAGGAGTAGAAAAATGAGAGAAACAAGTCAGTGAAAGTTTGAGCAAATTCCGATTAAAAATAAGGAAGTTAGGATTTTTGAAGTTGTGATCAATCAAACACAAATTGGCATGCGAGCTCAACTTCCATTTGCTCAGTACTAAAAAAATCTAAAATTTTCATTTTCCCTCAAGAAAAATTTCAACCATACATGCACCCTAAATATAATAGTTGCAAATATGTTTCTATATCCCCCTGCAAGGAACAAATATATATTCCGTCATCAATAACGAAGAAAACATGATTTTATGGAATATTACGCACAAAGCAAATGAAGGAGAGCTCGTATAATAAGTCACAGAGTTGCCAATTTGTATTTGATTGATCACAACTTCAATAATTCATAACTTTCTTATTTTCTTTCAGAATTTGCTCAAACTTTCACTCACCTGATTTTCTTATTATTCTGCCTCTATCGAAACAAACTTATTTTGGGGGTGGACTTTCCCTTTAACGTCGCTAACAAGTGAATGTTCCCACCCCCAACTTGCAACAATACCAGTTTATATATCAAACGTTACTTAAAGATTTTTTTTTTGCTCGCTCGCTCGCCAGAAGTGAAAATTAGCATCGCCTTTTTTGTTTGTTTCGGTCGCTTGCCCCCCCTGACGGAGTACCCCAGGTACGCCACTGCCTTAAGATATACCCGATTCTCGAGCACTACATCCATTTTTGTTTCATGACTATATTGCATTTGATACTAATAATTTTTAAAAGGAAAATAAATTTGAAAACCCTTTAATAAGAAAATCCTGAGAGATTAACAAATTATTTTCTCGATCAAAACGGGCCATTAAAACATTTTCAACGACATGGCATTTTATTCTATCATTGTAGCCACAAAATTAATCTATTATAATTACCAATTTGAAGGAAAATAATATGATTATTTTGGTCCACAACATAAATCCTGTTCTGAAAACTCACTTGATACATTCACATCGAAGCTGCAATTTCCCTGGTTCCCCGCGCCATCAGTAATCGAAATGGTCACGGTAGAAATCCCGAACGGGAAACGGGAACCGGGTGACAGGGTATCGGGAATGTAGCTGATTGACCCTTGCAGCATACTCGGATCGGGAACGTTGTCTGCAATACCCATGGGTGTGTATGTGATGACGTTTGTGGTGGTAGTTACGATACCGGCTGGGCAGGTGACCGTTGGCGGCTCCATATCTGCGTTTTTTAAGGAAGAAAAAAAAAGAGTTGTTGAATTGTAATCCGCCATCCAATCTCATTCGACGATCGCCTGATCAGGGCCTTGATTCTTCATTTCAAATTCCTTACGGCTCCAACTTGAAGCATTATTTAAAATACATAGGCCTACATAAATCTTAATGGAGATCGATAGCATAGGTAATGGGGACATGTGCATACGGCTTTGGTATGACAGAGTGATACAAAGAAACAGAGAGAGAGAGAGAGAGAGAGAGGGGGAGAGAGAGAGAGTGAGAGAGAGAGAGAGAGAGAGAGAGATGCAGAGATTTAGAAAGAAAAGGTAATTAAAAAGAAAAATGATTTGTGATTCTTCTAGACTCTAGTAGATTTCTCTATTGGTAAAATGAATGAATTTGCTCGTCAAAATGTTGTTTTATTTCTTTACAACAGTTTATCTACAGTTTATCGAAGATTACCATAGAAAATGAAACTTATATTATGCTAATCATATAAACAATAACAATGACGACGATAAAGTTAATGATGATAATGATGATGACAACAGCAATAAATACTACTATTCATGATAATAATACTAATATTCATGATAATAATGCTAATATTCATGATAATAATACTAATAGGCCTATTCATGATAATAATACTAATATTCATGATAATAATACTAATAGTAACAATAATAATAATGATAAAGACGATGATGATAATAATGATGATAATGACAATAATAACAACTACACTAATACGGAAACGTGACCAAAGAACTTTGTCACCCCCATCTTCATCGAAGTACTCACCCACGACTGTGAGGGTAAAGTTGCACTCTTTAGCAAGGTAACTATCGAAGTACCGTACGCTCATAGCATGGACACCGATAGGGAAACGGTCGCTAACGACGCCGGTCGTGTTCGTCGAAATTTCACTTTCTATGAAACTCGAGGTAACGGGAATGTAATCGAAGCCGGAGATCAAAGCTAGGTTGCTGACCGTGAGCTGGAAAGTTGATTCGCCGGGGTCTGTCGACTCGACGTCGCTCGTTATAGGGCAAGCAATGGGAAGCTCACTCACTGTGGCATTCATGATAATTTGGGATATATTTTAAAAAAGGACCCTTTTAATGGACAATACTAAAGGCAAAAAAAGAGAGCACATAAACAAAATATATCGGCAGTTTTAATGAAAGTTATAATATTGGGATTGACAAATAATATTACATTTCAAAAAGCATAGCAGAATGGTCTTAATTTGAATTTCATACATTGTCGAGGTTTTATTGTTGATTACTTTTCCAATCCTACTAGGGTGTCATTTGACGTGGGTTTTCTTTTTAACTTTCCACGTTTTTATTTGTTATGTTTTATTCTGTGAACTTTAAAAAAGATTTTTCAACTGTCTGTTATTTTGAATTTTGTTCAATGAAACTTAAGAATATATAGATATCATTATGAAGAGCATTTCTTGTGGAATACGACAACTACCCCTCGACTATCAGCCTGGGCATGTAACCATCATTACAAGGACAACTCTTCCTTAGGACAATGACCTTCCTTACAATAACGACCCTCTAGAAGAAGAAGAAAAAAAATAAGTTACCTCATCTAATAATATGGCTGTCAGTTCTTGCATCCTTCAAGAAATACATTTACTTGATATTAATTAATATTTTAGGTATTTATACTCTATATACTTCGCCGAAGTTACATCATCAAAAGTCTGGGTAAAATATACTTCATAATTATGTGGTGAAAAGTAAGCAAACATGTCTGGTGGCTCATACCGTAATTATTGAGAAAATTATTTTGTCAGTTTAATATTAATTTTTAGGGTAAAATGCTTTACACAATATTGATAAAGAATTCACCCACCAAATAGGCATGTTATTTCGGATTATACAGACACGACAGATGTAGCATGGATAAGCATTATACTTACAACTAACAGTGACATTGAATGTACAGTTCCCTGTCGCAGTCGATGGCGATGACGTCGGATAAGCCGTCACTGTGACCTCATTAGTGCCTACTGGCAACCTGTTAGTCGGACCGTATTCTTCGGGTTCATAGGTAAAGTTATAGCTTGCGTTCCCAGAAACGGCAACGTTGTAGGTTTCAAAGACGTTGGATTTATCCGAGTCCACGGAATTGCAAGTCACAACTGTAGAATGAAAGAAAGCGAAGGCATAATTTGGAAAGTAAGGTATCATCTACCCTTTAAAAATTATATGTCATAACCGTAAACATGAATCATAAGTCTTAATCATTGCATTGTAACTACCCTTGTTTTGCTGACGCATTCACCTTGGAGAGAAAAGTCACTACGTTACGTAATGAAAATAGAACAAGGAATATGGAGGCGATTATAATGGTAAGGAACGACGTTTGGCTTTATATATGCTAAGATATCTAATAACCTTTTATTGTTTACATCTTTTGCACGTTTCAAGAAATCTCCCAGCGGCATGGTGATTTAAATTCATCTATTTTCTGATATTGTATAAATGTATGTCTTAACAATGAAAAGCAAGCATAATCATTATTTTCAAAGGAATGTTTGTATCAATCATAATGTGATACTTGTTTGTTATGTCTGTGGCGCTGTGTGGGTTACTGCTCGCACATTTATTATCCACCCTTTTGAAGTATAATACACTGTTGGTCATAATGGTGGAATATTTATTTTTACCCCAGTTTAGGGAAGGATTTTAAAAACTTATTTATTTCTAATAGATCTAGATAATGGCATACATTCTCAGATTTTATTGAATATTAATTTGCGAGTATTTGTTTTGCGTGACTGCTTAATCATATGTGTGCTACTATGCTAATCAGCTAAGGGACCTACGTCCTTAAGTCATAATTGACAGTAATAAGGATTAATGCCTCACAAAAGGGCACTAATATAGCTGATCGACACGATTTTTATCCTGGGGCCTCAGAGTAATGAGGCCATTGCTTAGCCCCTGAATCATGACTGTACGCAGTGTTTGCTAGGGTACGCGGCCCCTTCCACAAATCCCCCAAAACGAAGAAAATGCAATAAATTGTCAAAAATTCATTGCATTTTTCCCCGGCCCCCAACAGGAAATATTCTTCTGTAGGGCCATGCATCATGGTTCAAGGCATGGCAACACAGACCAACAGTGTATATGCCTCCCATTTATATTGTGCAACTATCATTGTACGCAAGAAAGATTTGAGCGAATGTTTATGCCTGCAGGTAAAATACAAATATGGGGATCTGTATGAAATTCCGTGTCTCGTATATACTTGTGTTAGGCTGTACTTTTCTTTATGTCGATAATAACTCCCCATAATCTTGTGAAATGCAATGACCTGTAAAAAATCACTTATCCCAAGTTGCTGTATGGGTAGTTATTGGCACACCTCTTTCCATTCAACTTGGCGGAATTTCTTTTCAAATGAGAGATCGAGGGAACTTTGGAACGCTCATTCTTTTCGTCTCCTTGAGTCTCTTGTTATAGTCAATATTAAAACATATTTTTAAAATCCCTCAGTATTTACAACGTTGAAGACACGAACACAGGAGGAACGCTCTGTACACGAGTTCCATTGATTTCCCCTTGATCGTGGTACAGATATGAATGTTATATGGTTCAAGTCTTTAGTTTTCGCTTATCGTCTATTTTTAGATTTCCCTTTACTAAAATAACATACCACCCCATCGGTGGCGGCATCGGGAAGGGCTGTACACCTAAGGCAAATTACCAACTCAATAATGATATATTATTACAAAAAGAAGATATCATGAGTTGATTAAAATAGAAGAATCTAGAGCGGAGGAATTTTGGAGAAATGCTTTAGGAATTGAATGTATATACCTTCATGGTTAGATGTTTGGATATTTAAGCTAAAAGGTATAAAAGACAGTTTACTGATCAATTTTAAATTCAAATTCATGTACAATATTTTGGCAATATCAATAATTTGTTTAAATGGAAAGTAAATGTCCCTGAGCAATGTTATTATTGTAATCAACCAGGTGATTGTATATCTTCTTTTCTTGTCACGAAGTCATTAAGTTTTGGAAAGAAGGTGAAGAGAATATAAAGAAATATTTCATGTCTATATAAATTTATTTTCAAACCACGTCATCTATTATTTGGTATTGATTTTAATGCAAAGAAGGAAAAAGATGTTGATATTTTTTGGAATTATGCACGTTTCACTATTTACAAAAGCTTTGTTGGAAAAGAATTTAAAAAGGAAAGAACAAAACAGAGACTTCTTCATATTTTCTTTTACCTACTGGATTATCGTTTACAGATAGAAGAAAATACTAGAAAACCATGTATATCCCTCCAGAAATGGAGGCAAACACTGAAAATGATTATATATATATATATATATATATAAGCAAGTTTAGTGAAACTGCAATTTCTGACAGTGCTCAACTGTAGGAGCTAAATGTATTTAGTTACTGATGAGCCTTCTGGCGAAACAGTCTGTATAACTCGTACCAATAAAGTGTAACCTTCCAACTCCTATATCTATATATATATATATATATATATATATATATATATATATTATTATGGTGAAATAAAGAAGACCAGAAATGGTTATTTTACCCCCTCCCCCCCCCCCCCCTGAAAAAAAAATGATATGACAAAATGATGTTATCGGTGAATTATTACACCATTTCACATGAGCACTGCCCCTCAAGTAAAAAAAAAAAGAGAGAAAACAAAACACATCTCTCCAATGAATGAATCACACTTTCTAAATATTTGCCGTTCTCTAATCCCCAAGGATCTATATAACATCTGAAAGTGTTATTTGAATGAATTGTTTCCCTTTGTCCAAAACTTTGTAATCCACTTTTAAAATCCTCCTAATCGCCAGCACGCGTTTGCTTGTTTGATAAAGCACTTGGACGCCATCACTTTAATATATCAAGGATCATGTATGGGAACGGAATTCTTTTTAAAACGGAACAAAATTATGTTTACAACGGTTTTGTATAATTGTTTACCTCGAGAATAGTATTAGTATCTAGAAATGAAGGATTAAGGTCGATATGCTGTCCGAAGAAACAGCATGATTGTGAACTCTACAATACTAATTCCATGTAAATGTATTTATTTCGTTATCTCTGTTTAAATTCAATATTGAAGAAGGTAAGATTGATCAAAGAAGATTTCTTTCATTGTCCAATTGAAATTGTTGTTACTTTATGTTTGTTTTTAAATTTCATCAATAAACCCAAGCAATAAATCCAGATTCACAAAGCGACAATGATTTGCTAAAGAAATGCAACAGAGAAAACAGGCATATTTTATTACCCATATTTTCTTTAATATTTCATATTCCGAATCAATAAACTCAGTCAATCAGTGCACTAACTAAGAATATATTGAAATATGTAACATATTAAACAGAAATATTATTTTGTTTCCGGCGGAAGTAGATCCTTTATGGGAATTTTCTTCTGAGGTCAATCTCTTACGTCATGTCACCTTGAATAATGTATTCTTTCTCTCGCAATGGAATGCACCAACCTTGAAGAAACGTTTCGATAAAATTGAGATTGTGTTATGATTGGTAATGATACTGAAAGGGAGAGCTAAGGAATATTGTTCACAGAGACGAGGTATCACCCGCCCTCCGCAAGATGTCAAAAATAGCAGGAATAATAGCAACGAAAAAAAAAACGTGGTGGGCCAAGAATAACACTACCTGATGAATAAGTTCATTGATAGGATAATTCGAGTGTGTATGGATGACGTCATTTGACTAAGAATTCGTCAGGTTGAGACAATATGCTATATTTTTGGTCGCCAAGGCAAAGAAGGGACAATATGTATGTTTTTCTCTTTTGTGTTTCCTTTGTAATTGAGTTTATACAAAAGCCACTATATACAAGACATAGTAATCTATCTAAATATATATTTTTTAAACATTCCATTAACGTGAACAAGACAGGACAGATGTGTAAAAATGATAACATGGGTGAGTTTAACAGGTGTATTCGCATGCGGTTACTTTCTGAAAAAGTGGTTTTATTTGACCACAATGATATACATGACAAATCTTGAAAAATGTTTCTCCAAAACAACAACAAACTTTTATTGTTTGACTGGTAAAATAAATTCAGTCGTGGATGGTATATGGTTCAATTCCTTCCAATATCAATTTACACTCAACCTTAGTAATAATCTCATCAGAACGATTAATCCAAACCATGACGGTAAGCAGACAAAAAAAGGGCCATTTTAATAGCTTCATTTACAATTGGGGATCAAAAATATCTTAATACGACTGATCCTATATCATTTTGTCATACTAGACTATATTTTATGTACGACCAAATACAAACACTACAATACCACACCCATCGCTATTCACAATGACTACCAGGAATGAAGACCTTATTAAATTCACAATGAAACTAATCTTATTTTCGTGAGATATCAAACAAACGCATGAACCTCGAATTCCTTGTGCAAAATAAGAAATGAAACTGAAAGCGAGAGGCCATGATCAAAATGTGTTTTCATAAGACTTTGTTTAAATCTGTTTGTAACATTTCGTTGTCATGTCATTATCATTGCCCGCTCTAAATAGAAAGAAAACTCTATTTCAGGAAATAGTACACATTTCATCACATTACATATTCATACCATTGATTAATTTTAATCATAATTGAGTAATTATACATACATCACTTCTGAACAAGCTTTAACTTATCTTGCCTTTGTTTTTCTTCTTCAATGAATTGCCATGTTATCAGACTATTAATACAACGCTTGCTGACAACATTAATTTCCACTTGCTTTCTTTGAGATATATTATAAACTGTCACTTTGTTCTGGTTAGGTATTATTGCAAACTGATCGTTTCTTTTTTTCATTTCCTTTTCCATTCATAGAAATGAATTTTATGCTCTGATTCCCTTGTGAATATTGGAATGGAAATAAAACACAAAGCCCTTTCACAAATGGAATAAACTTTTAGAATAATGAGAATTACAACAACAACAAGTATATATACACCCTGTTTCACAAAGAAGTTTATCTATCTGTAATATGCACTTGTCACCTAACTTCATTTGACTATTATAGTATTATGATTCTTCCTCATTTCATTAATAAACTATACAGCAAATTGTACCAATTTAATGCGATTAACCTCGATTTCGTTCATGAGAAATATATTTGATGAAAAATAATAGATTATTAGTGCAGATATTCATGATAAAAAAAAATCCATAGACATTCGTCTTTCTTGTACAGCCTGATTGCCGGTTAATTTCAAAATAAAACCAATAAAATGATTTTGGTTTTTAATATAGGATTTCTCGGTCACTTTCGTAAGCTTTTCATTCGTTTTGATACAAACTTCATTCAAATTCGCGAAATAAACTGCCGGCGTGTAACTTTCATTCAAAATAACACTTCTTTCATTTGATTTACTTATTCGGTCAATGGATTCAGCACTTGTTTCATTCAATTTAACAACCGCTTACAAATGCGCAATTTGCATTCATTTTCGTCAACAATGGCAAATCGGACGTCTGTACCATTCAATTTCACTTTGGGTCATTCTAAATAACAAAGTTTTCATTCAAATTCGCCTATCTTTACAAACCTATGGTATACATGGTATATGCACATGTTTCTCATCTAAATTAAACAAATGAGTTATATAACATGCCTAGATGTCTTGCCCATCAACATGTAGAGGGTTAAACAACTCTAGATAAAAGATTGGACATCATCTTACTGATGTTCTCATCACTGACTTTATCGTACCCGGTCGTCTTTTGGAAGTGATATGATGTAGACGAACATGATGATGTCATGCATGATGTAATTATGTTCATTGAAATATATATAACCAAAACAAGATTTCAGATTGTATGTAAGTATTCTTTAGTTTATGTCCACATGGCATTAGCTATTGAGATGTGCGCGCAGTGAGAAAACAATGTATCAAACTCATTGATGATTGTGTAGGGTGATCGTGATTGTAATTGAGATGGTGATTACGATTGTGATTGTGATTCAGTGTGATGGTGATTCAGATTTTGATGTGATTATGATTGTGATTGAACTGATACTCATAGATTGTTCTTAACATGTTCAATACAGACGAAATATAATTTACACAAATATAAATGGCTTCAAAGAGGTTACGAAAATCGAATAACTTATCAAAAACATAACCAAACTAAACATTAAAAATAAACCAATGTATAGAGTATTGATACCACCCCCCCCCCCCCCACCATTATGGTACGCCACTCCAATAAATATAGCCGTAGTCTGTAAACACACACTTTGCATGTACTTATATCATTGCATATTCATAAAAAAGACACTCTTGCTTAGTTCCATGCTAATTCTATATTGATATGGCTAGGTTTTATCTACTTAACACATGATCGTTCAGTTGCTAAATAGTGATGATTTAGTGGGTATACATTTACACCCATAGTGAGGGCAAATAACATGTTTGTTGCTTACCAACCCATACAATTTGAAATGGATTTAACATGGAACTAAGCTTGCGGGGGTTCTATATATGATCATACTGAGTAAGATGTACATGTTTAATTTGTCTGCAAAACGTGTGAAACTGTATGCAAAGAAACGAATTTGAATTCACGGAAGACGCTATTACGTAATCGCGAATCGTCTCGCTTTAAATTGAATGACAATTTTACGAAAAAGAAACACGTTTTAATTTGAATGAAAATGAAATGTTTTTGAATGATCGTTTTAGGAATTTGAATGCTAAAAAACGAATTTGAACGAAAAATAACAGCTGCGGTGACAGAATCGGCGAAATTGAATGAACATAAAATGAATTTGTGTGGCCAGCTTACGAAAGTGACCGAGAAATCCTATAATAACAGTTCACTTACCCTGGCCGTTTGCTCCATTACTTAAAATGAAGAAAATCCCACAAATCCAAACATACGTCCTTGTTGTACTTAAATGGTAACTGCACAGCTCCATAATTCTAAGGAAAAAAAATCAGCAAATAAAGTCACAAGTCAATTATAAAAATCCAGGCTTTGATAAATAGGTGTACTCCTTTATTTCGGGCAGAAATTCCGCAGTGTATCCAAAGCTTGTTTCACTGGTTGAAGTATTTTAGAATACAGCCATACACCTTCTTGTAGAATGCCGTCTGGTGAAACTTATATATCGGTTTTGTTACAAGCTAAGTTCTGATATCAAGTGAAATAGGCGCCTGGTACATAAAGCGGAAATATGTATTAATGCGAGCAGTTTAATCTGTCCCTCAGTCACATAAGTTTGGCAAAGGGAGTGGCGGAAGTTCAGTTGCCTGGCGGTACAGCGCGCGTTAGACAAAGTCCCGGTAAATACGTTTGCGAATAAGCGGATCAAGAAGGAGTTCAGGTTCTTAAATAAAGCCAAGTTTGAGGAGAACACCAATGTGACTATGCACTCTGACGCGGGAATGACTTTAGCTACGAGCACATAGAGAGTCCAAGATGTTTGCTCGGTGCTAAACATGCGTTGGAGTTGTCTGCGTCCAAAGTGTGAACTATAGAAAAATGATCCTCGGCAAATATTATACCTGTTTACAATGCTGGTTTCAGAATAGGAAAGATTCTATTGTTGGAAGAATCGCAGTTCGTGTAGTGTATTAATGGTGATATCATCCAGCTTTTTTTCATACTCTCCTTGTCCATGCCTCAGTGATCTTCAAAGAAAGAACTCCGTAGTCTATAATATAGGCAAGACGGAGTGCCCCCACAACGGGAAAAGAGCTTTTACTATTTTGCAACTAGTACAAGAAGTAAACTTTGTGTATAATGTTGAATGCAATGTTATAGGTTCGTTGGCAAATAAAATAAGAAAGTTATTGCTGTTTTTGTAAGACCTTGCATATATTTCAAATTGAACAAAAACAAATATCCAGCGACTTCATCTGCAGAAATGTGGTTTACATTTATAGGTTTGCAAATCCAAATGTCGTTGCATTGACGTCTGACGATATTTAGGGACATCCGGACGAGTGTCAAGCTCAAAGATAATTAATTGGAACGATAAGTTTGAAGAATAAGGTATAAGCTTTACTTATGCTTATTGCTTTGAATAGCATTGCAAGCAACTAGACCTAAACTTCTGACATAAAAAAGTAAACCTGTTGCTTCGTTTCCGCTGGTATGCCAGAGTTAGTGGCTCATTATAAGCAATGATTGCCTTGTAGATGAGGATACAAGATGATAATTCGTGTATGGATATCCCACTGCTGCCACTACCATGACTGATATCGTCCTAGAAAATGTATCTTATCGATAAAATAATGGGTTACAAAAGAGAAAGAGAAAGAGAGAGAGAGACCAGATAATGGAAGTAACTGCAACCGTCCAATAATTTCAATTTTAGGCTTAATTGTGTCTATATCTCCCGTCCCTGACAATGACAACGATAATTATGAAAGCTACTTAAATCTAGTTCTACAAATATTAAAAAACCGATATTAGAAGTCTTCAGTAATTGTTAAATTAATCAATGCATTTCTGTTATAAAGTAAGTACAAACATAATAAATTCGAGGACTTTAATCGCACTCTCTCTCTCTCTCTCTCCTCTTCCTCCTCCCTGAGTAAAATAAAACTAAGACAACAGATGTGAATACTACTAAGCGGATGAAGATGATTAATGATTTACAGGAAAAGCATTTACAATCTGCTTTCAAGTAAATACAGATATATAATTTGATCTCTATTAAACATGATTGTGATGAAGTGCTTAATTGTTATAAATATTTATGTATGACGTTATCCTTGATTTTGCATCTGGATAAAGATCTATTCCAAAAAAAAAAACTTCACAAAAAATTCGAGGACTTTAATCGCGCTCTCTCTCTCTCTCTTCCTCTCATTTCTCCCTCACCCTCCTCTCTCCCTCTTCCTCGATTCCCTCTCTCTCTCTCCCTCTTTCAGCATTTTATGATTTGTTTGCGTGTATGACTGTTAGAGCGGGTGATACCCCAGTCACACCTGCGAACCGACACTAGACCGACACTGGATCAAACAAACTTTTACATTGCTCCCAACAGCGAAGAATCTATCGGTTTAGAGTCGGTTTGGCGGTGTGACTCACCCACTCAGGTATTATTTTTGCCTGGATAACATTTGGCCTGCGATTAGTCTACGGAGCCCGTATCCTGCCCGTATCCCCTTTTCCGTGCGGCCTCTGTGCGGAGGCAGGAGGCGGTCGTGAGATTTTCGTACGGATTCACGGGCTCCGCAGCCTTTACGATTTTGTTTCGCGAGAAGTTAAACAAATTTGAAAAAATCGTAAGCCCGAAGTCCGTATACATGTCGTAGGTGGCATTGCACAATCCCCGCACGGGCATCGCCCGGAGGCATCGCACTGATTGTGCAGCAAACGTACGATTTTCGGTGAACATGGGGACAAACAAAAATCGTACAGAGATTGTAGACTCGTGGGGAATTCGCACGGCCATTGCACAGCTATCGCAAGGTTGTTGCTCGCTGCCCGTGCACTATCCGTGATATTGAGAATTTTAAATTGCACGATTTCCGTACAATCTCCGAGCAGCCTCTGTACGGATTTGCCCCGGCCTGCCACCGAGGGCCAATACAATAAATGGCACGATGCTCGTAGATAATGTAAACACAAACATCGTAGCCCGTAGCCTCCTACGATATCTACGAAAAATCGTAGACTAATTTATCGTACGGCGCCCGGGGCAAATGTAATCCAAGCATTTTGTCATGCTTTTGACAATTCCTGAACCAATTTTCCGCATCGCGAGTCAAGATAGTTTACATGCTTTGGTTACTTCGTCGTTCCATTTGTATTTCCGTATATAATAGACCATTCAGAAATAATTTCAAGTCTATGCATGGTGTCTCATACACCTTTGTGACAATAATATTGTCAATTATTATACGTTGATCGGTATTTCGTTGGTAAATGAGACCAGTCTTTTGAGGTAGGTAAAAAAAGAAAGATCATTGTCTCTTTTCCCCCGAAAGTATGGTTTGGGTTCAGTCATACATGAAAATGAATTACTACTGAGACTGACTGCACTCCAACAAAATGTGCACAGCCGGGTGTTAAAAGGTAAGTCTATACCCTGAGATTAAGTTTGTTTTAATAGAAGCAGAAAATGAGAGAAACAGCTCAGTGAAAGTTTGAGCAAATTACGATAGAAAATAAGAACGTAATGAATTGTTGAAGATGCGATCAGTCAATTGACAACTCTGTGACAAATCTTGCGAGCTCCTTTCTTTGCTCTGTACATAAAATGTCATAATTTATTATAGAATTTATCATACTTTATTTTCTCCATACAGGGGCTGTATAGAAACATAATATTTGTAATAATTATATTTAGGGTGCATGTACGATTACTGAAAATTTACTTGAGAGAAAAAAGGGGGGAAAAGATAGGTACATCACAGGGTTGCCAATTTGTGTCAGTTGACTGATGGTAACTTGTAACTTGTAACTTCGACCCCAAGCCAATTTGTTACCTGCCAGTGTCACAAATAAGGTATAAAAATATGCTCATCTGACTGTAATTAAATGCCTAAAACCCCTTGACTTCCGGTGGCTCTGACCCCTAGACCCCACCTAGGGCCCTAAGGCGGACGGCTTGATGCTAATCTGACGGTAATTTAATGCTTAAAACCCCTGAGCTTCTGGGGTCTCGGCCCCCTTGACCTCACGCCAATTAGTGTCCTGCCAGTGTCACAAATAAGGTATCAAAGTAATTATGTTCATCTAACCGACAGTAAATGCCTAAAACCCCTAAGTTTCCGGGGCTCCACGCCCTCGACCCTACCAGGGGCCCTAAGACGGGCCCCTGCATTCTTGTCTGACCGTTATAAAATTCCTAAAACCCCTGAGCTTCTGGGGGCTCCGCCCTCTGGACCCCAAGCCAATTTGTTACCTGCCAGTGTCACAAAAAAGTTATAATTATGCTCATCTGACCGTTATAAAATTCCTAAAACCCCTGAGCTTTTGGGGGCTCCGCCCCCTGGACCCCAAGCCAATTTGTTACCTGCCAGTGTCACAAAAAAGTTATAATTATGCTCATCTGACGTAATTAAATGCCTAAAGCCCTGAGCTTCCGAGGTTCTGCCCCCCCCTCCTTCGAACCCAACCAATGGCCCAAAGGCGGGCCCCTGGATGCTCATCTGACCGTAATCTATTGCCTAACACCCCTTAGCCTCCGGGGGCTCCGCCTCCTGGACCCTACGCCAATTCGTGACCTGCCAGTGTCACAAGGTATAAAAATATGCTCATCTGACCGTAATTGCTCAAAACCCCTGAGCTTCCAGGGGCTCCGCCCCTGGACCTCACGCCAATTCGTGACCTGCCAGTGTCACAAATAAGGTATAAAATTATGCTCATCTGACGATAAGATGTATAAACCTCTGAGTTTCTGAGGGCTCCGCCCCTTGGACCCCACGCCAATTCGTGACCTGCTAGTGTCACAAATAAGGTATAAGCAGGGGCGTAAGTAGACGATTTGTTGTACCGTTTTCGACTCTTAATAAGCCCCTATTTATCTGAATTCAGTTCCCCCTCTCGCGCGAAGCGCGGAAGCTTTGACGTTTCCTTAAATTATTAGAGAAAGCAGACGATTGGGTGTACTGTTCTCGACTCTTAATTCTCATCTGAATTCAAGTTCCCCCTTCCCCCCTAAAATCTCCAGGAAAGGGGTACTTTTTCCCGCGACAAAATCCGGCCCGAGAATTGTAAAAAAAAGGGGGTGTATTTGACTTTCCACCCGGAGATTCTTTAAAAAGGGGGTGGGTTTTTTTCTCTTTCTCTTTGGACTCCTGAGAAATGTAAAAAGGGGTTTATAAAATATGTTGAATATCATAGAAAAATTGATCAAATCCTGGGATCAAATTCCTGAAATTCCTGCTAGCTTTGAAAGCTCATTCAGGATTATTTCATTTTGAAAAATAAAAACATTGGCCCCAGTTCCAGTTTTTTAATTTTTTTTCCAAGTCAGGAAAAGGCAGGAAAAGCCAGCGAATAGCCGGCGAAAGGGGGATTCAGAAATGTTTGCAGTCCTGAGATGGGGGGGGGGGGGTGCTTTCAAAGGGATGGAACAAGCATATGCCGCGTACCCTAAATAACACTGAGTTCGCTCGCTGGCGCACTTTACGTCTGGGCTATAATAATACCTTGCAAAATAACGAAAAATTATTCTGAAGTTTATGAAGTGCTCGTTCGCGCACGTCGCGCAACTACTCTTAATGATCGTGACATACTGTATACGTGTAGGCTATACATACATACATAAAAAAAAATAACTCATTTCTCATGCATTGAAACTGAAATTGAAACAATCACTTTTCTGTCTTATTCTTCTTCTTCTTCCTTTTTTTCTCTCTTTTTTGGGATAATCTTAGGGGGGTATTTGTACAGGCCATCCCCCCACCTTCAAGTCAGGGGGGATGCATCCCCCTCTATCCCCCACGCGATTTACGCCCCTGGTATAAGATATGCTCATCTGACGATAATTTAATGTATAAAACCCCTGAGCTTCTTGGGCTCCGCCCCCTGGACCCAACACCAATTTGTGTCCTGCCAGTGTCACAAATAAGGTATCAAAATATGCTCATCTCACCGTTATTTATTGCCCAAAACCCCTGTACCCCACGCCAATTCGTGACCTGCCAGTGTCACAAATAAGGAATAAAATAGGCTCATCTGACGATAATATTAATGTATAAAACCCCTGAGCTTCTTGGGGCTCCGCCCCCTGGACCCAACACCAATTTGTGTCCTGCCAGTGTCACAAATATATCAAAATATGTCATCTGACCGTTATTGCCCAAAACCCCTGAGCTATTCCAAGAAGGGGGGGGGGGGGGTACGATTTTTCAAATTTTCGAGGGCCCAAACAAAAAAATAGTGCGCACTATTCCACCCCCCCTTTTTTTTTAATATAACAAAGATAAAAACAAATATTATTTAGCTAGACACAGTTGAGTGCATTTTGTTATCACTCAAATGAGTCGAATTGTAGTGATACGTCATTTTGAGGTCAGTCCGTGTTGAACTGATCTTTGTAATTGCACCTTTACATTTTGTTCAAGAAAATCATCGAAATGGCGAGAGGTAACGTACACTTTAAATTATTTTTTAAATAGAATTCATTTTCTGATATGTATGTTTTTACATAGTTATTATTGATGAAGTTATCAAGTTACTCCTGTTTTAGTATGAGAGTGGTGTGAGATGAGAAACTCGAGAATTAGAGGTTCTTTGCCCTGACTTTTGTCCGAGGTGAATGTATTTGTGTGCGAGAGAAATCGGACGCGACCCGCGGATGTGTTGCCACGTGTAGGATTTATAGAGGAAGAGCTCCGGGGAGCTGGGAGAGTGTACACGTACACGTAGACTGTTCTACTCCCGTAGGCCTACGTATTGAAGTTTGGCTGCAGTTTAGTGGGATGGGCAACGAATCGTTTGGCCGTTTGTGCATTTCAGTTTATCTTTGGATTGTTTATAGCTAATTTGAAATGGCATGTAGACCCTATGTAGGTTCTAAATTAGTTATTTAAAATGAAATAAATTATAAATTACACATTGGGAGCTAATTTGAATTTTGATAATTCAGACTGTAGCTGTTGGCGCTAGTTCACTTCAGAAGTCTATCCAGAATTTGACTTGTAACTCCAGCGCAAAAAGAACTTTGCGCATTGAGCGCTGTGCACTGAGTTTACGCGCTCTCATTGGCCGATCCGCTCGAGTGGCTTCAAATTTAAGTGATGTTGATGGCGTTTATATGGTGCCAATATCTAACATTGACTGAATAGAAGCCAGCGATAGCCAATAAGAAGGGCCCTTGTCGCTGCCAATTTAGTGAAATGAGACTACGATTTGCCGAGATCGGATAAACGATCTGTGCATGCGCTTAATGTAAGCTAGAATTTTACGTGCGGCGTGGAGTTACCCTACTAAAACATACAGAAAATCAACTAAATCTTCATCAATTGTTCAATTACGGTCATGATTTAAATCCCGAATCTGAAAAATGAAGTATCTTACACGTGTCTGTAAGGAATATGGGTACCATAAAATGAGCTTTATTTCAAGTATTTTTCAGATTTAGAGCCAGATTTTGTGTGAGTCGCAAGCTCAAAAGTATCTCCTCGCATGTATTAAATCTATGCAGCCGGACACCCCAACGCACACACGATATCTCTGTCTAATTCAGATTCCAATTTCCGATCACCGCAGAGATAGTTTTCGGCATGGCGAGCTCCGGGGAGCTCCAGCGTGGGATACCTGCTCCGCCTGCAAGTGCTATAGATCAGCGGGGAAACGAACGGCGCACTTCCTATTGACTATGTACATGCGACCGAAAACTGTCTCGCTAGGCCGATAACTGTTTCCTAAACAGTGAAAATTGAAATGAATATTGTCAAGGCAATTCATGATTTTTTTTCTGGGATTCTTTTTTTGTTTAAATAATAATAATATTTGCTTCATGATTTAAACAAGAAATGATAATAAATAGGAAGTAAAGAGTCCAAAAAATAGGATTTTGTCTTAAGTGGCAAAAAACCCCTCCTATACTCTACACTTTCTTACAGGTTTTCACGGCAAATCGCTGCACAGTAAAATTGCATACTGTAATATCCGTAAAGCGTACTGACGGTGGGGTGCAGGTGCGCTTGTGTTAAGTTAGCTACTGGTTAAATCTCAAATCCTCATTAAATTCATGAGAATAATTAATCATTATGGTTGCTAGCCTCACGCACGCGCAGTACCCCACTGTCAGTACGATATGCATTTAGTGGTTGCGGGAGTGAGTGAAATGAGAGTCCATGTTTTTCTTACACGATATATTTTTGTGAGAGCCCACTAAGAGGTCGTTCACGAATGATTGTTGCGAGCCGGGTGGACTTTAAGAAACAGAACCACTAAAGAGGTGACAAAATTGTCCTTCACGTTTGTGTTAAAAAATCTCTGAAAATTCTTAGTTTTTAAAGCTTCTGTCAACTTTGTATAAACTACACTACTACAGGATTCATTTTGTGGAAATAACATTACAGCTTTAATACACAGGTAGTCTGTAAATGTAATTGCAACAAAAGGGACTTTTAGATTTGCACATCGACATAGTGGACTGCTACGTGTGACGTCATTTTAAAGTGCCTAAAAGGACCTTAAAGGATGTCACACGTAGCAATCCACTATGTCGATGTGCAAATCTAAAAGTCCCTAATACAGGATCTTGGACCTCTTGTACAACATATCAATGATCGATTTATGTTTATTTTGTTTATACACATAGGCTTGGTATTTCTGCTGGTCCTGGTCTTCACGGTTGTGGGACAGTCGCTGAGTCCCATCTCTACCCTGTCCTTGGACAGCCAGGCCAGGTTCAAGGCCATCTTTGAGCAGGCCAAGCCCTACGCGGATCTGAGCACGGCCCACTATGCCATCTTGGGACTGAAGCTGCTCAATGCTCCCATCCCCCAGCCCCAGGTGAGTACCTGGGCCCCATTTCACAAAACTTGTCTTCAGTGACAAATTACAGTTTTTGTTATAAGCTACTGAAATCCTTGCTTCTGATTGGTTTCAGCAGATTTGTCACTGATTTTTGTAATTTGACATTGAAAAAAAGCTTTGTGAAACAGGTCCCTGGTCAATGTAAGACTGAGAGCTCTTGAATAGCTGTCAAGGATTTTGTTCATTGCTTCTGGATTAAAACTCCTGTCCTTGCAAGTCTCTGAACTCAGCTTGACGGAGGATATTTCTCAAGAATAAAGAAGAAAACTTTAATATCAACTACATCATTTAGTCTAGATTCATTACTTTCTCTAAAAACTGGATATAAACATTACAGGTCAAAGGAGTACTTAGATCTTAGACTCCTCTTTTAATGATTTGTTGCTTTACTTGGGATGATGTTTACTTGGGATGATGGTATATGACAACAAATATTGCTCTCTTTTCTTGAAATATTTTTTGAGTTAACAAAGACATATTGTTTGTTGGGAGCCAGAAGGGCGATGATATCTCCTATACATCATCACAGAGGTGACATCGTTATGACTCTGAACAGATGTAAACAAGATATAGTGTTAACCAGCTTTTGAAATGAATTGATGGCATTTAAATTGATGTTTCTCATGTATTTTATTTTTCCCAGGAGGCCTGCACCTTTTTGAAGGAGCATCTGGATGCCAACAGTATCCAGTCCATCTATCATGCCACCACGGCTGCCAAAACTCTGGGCAACTGCAAGGTGAGTTTCAGCAAACGAAAGAAGAAAATTTCACGACCCGATGCCTTCTTATTGACTGTGTGAATAACAGTATAACACCCATGTTCATGTGGTATCTGACTATCGCGCTGCTAATCATCTCAATCACACCGCCACATTGACTTTAAACCGACCGATTTTTGGCTATTTGGAGTATTATCAATTTTTGTTTGGTCTGTTTTTGGTCAGCTGTCGGTCTTGCTGGAGTGACTGAGGTACTAGGAGTGAAAGTATGCTCTTCTGTTTTATGCCGGAGGCATTATATTTTCGGGTTGTCCGTCCGTCTGTACGTCCCGTTCTCATGATCGCATTATCTCAAGAATTGATTGATGGGATTCCCGCCAAACTTGCAAAAATAGCTTGTAATCATATTATCATTTTAACAGATTTACTGATTACCATCAAATTCGAGACATGTATGTATCGTGCAGAGCCAATGAACTGATTAGATTTTGGGCTCATGAAGTCAAAGATCAAAGGATCATACATTTATATGAAAAAAAGCTTGTAATCCGATATTCTGAGAACCTGTTAATGGATTACAATCACACTTGAATTTTAAAAATTGCTTCTGTTTTGGTTTGTAAAATTGCTCTATGGCAGAGGCATCATTTTTATAATCCATCTAGTATTCCATCTATATTAAAATACACATTCGCAATGTGATTTACAGACATAAGGATGACTTTCTTTGACTGATATTATTCATGAGGAATATTTGAAATACCTCTAAGAAGTTCTGAATGTCTGATGGCTGAACTTAGTTATTGAAGGTGCTAGTTGACAAATATAATATTTTTTTTGTAGAAATAACAATTTATACAGTTGCTATTTATACTGTTTGTTTACTGATATACATACGAGACCATATTTTTAAAATTGTCTATGGTGGAGGCATCATTTTCGACTGCACGCAGTATACGATCCATCTAGTTAATTAATGCATTTGTCTTAACAGTGAAGGATATTTATCACTGACAAGGAAATGGTATTAAAAGATTAGAGCCACTTCATTGTACAAACTGATTATGACGTAGTAAATTGACATCACTAGATTGAAAATTAATGGGTCATTATTATTTGCCTTTGTAGGTGCCCTTGAGCAATGGACAGCAAGTGTTGAATTCCGCTGTCACCGATAGCTCAGACGTAGCGACAGTTTTCTATGCTGTCTCAGCGCTGGCTGCCCTTGGCCTCACCAGTAAGTATTCAGAGTCTTTGTATCTCTCTCTATTCCTCTCTGTCAGCTCCGCTCCCTCTCTCAATCTCTATCTCTCCATTCCCCACCCTTCCTCTCTCGTATATTCTCTGTCCAACCATCTAGCTAAATCTTATTTAATTTGTATTTTTCTCATTACAAAATTCCTCTTTTCATTGTTTTCATCTCTCACTCAGTAAGCACCACTACTACAAGTTGTATATATTATATTGTGTCATTTTTCACATCTCTCTTTCAGTACTCTATCTCCCATTCCTCTCTCTTATCTGTCAATGGTACATGCTTTGGGATAATGCTCATGCATTTATTCAATAAGTGGAAAACCCGTTATTCTAAATACCATCACTCTCTTTTTGTCTATTGCAAGAAAAAACAAATCAATTCTCTACTAAATGTACATATGCAGAACAATGATTACGACACTGCACTTCATTTTACCACCAATATAAATGTTAAAGTGACTTCTAACTGATAATCTTGATCCTCTCTTGTTTTCTTGTAGTTAACTCTGCTGAAGTGGCAAAGGCTTTGGATGCCGGACTGAAGAAAGACGACAGTGTTTTGAGGTAAGACCTACCTGGTCTTTTGGCAGTAGGCTCTTGAACATAAATTGAAAGATTACGTGTGCCTGTAACTTTTCAAAAGTCATGAATACTATGAACAAATTTGATTTGGGGTTAATGGTATACTTATAGATGTTTAGAAGGGGGTTGATGTATTACTCAACATCATTTTTATTGTGTAACTGACAAACAAGGTCAACACAGAAAGGATTCTCTTTGTTGAAATAATATGTATTGTGTATGTACAGTAGTTCTTTACATGGTTGCATATTTGTTTTGTGTTTTCATGTACATTTAATGTATGTTTGATAGGTTTTATAGTATCTCTTTAAAATTTTGATATTTTTAGTGTGAATGAAATATCTCAAGAGTTCTTGTGCTTGTAAAGTTGAAAACCCTGTATAACATCTATCAATTTTTATTACCGCAGTTCCAGTTTGGCTCTCCATGTGGCATCCATGTTGTCTAATGAAACCAATGTCGATAAATACCATGATCTCATAGAAGATATTGTAGCACAAGCAGATGAAGTAGGAGAAAAATATTTACAGGTGAGAAAAGTGCCCATTTACCAACATATGTAATGCTCATACCACATGTGTAAGATAGTTCAAACCCCTCAAAAAGGGAATATAAGAATTTAAACTACTGCAGGTGTCAATGAATGGTAAAAATACAGTGTTGATGAAGTAGATAAGAATTGCAGTGCACAAAAATAGCCCTTACACATAATGATCCCCAGTGTGATTAAAGATATATGTGATGTGCTCAAGACTTGTATTATTTTTATTGCAGTTGATGACTTTGCATGGGCTTCTTATTAAATTATGTTAGTGTGAAAAGGGATGATAATTGTATAATGGTGTGGGATGTTTCGGTTGCTAATTTGATTCTTGTATTTCTCTTTCCACAGTTTGATTCGTTACAGCAGACAACAATTTTCATAGAAGGAGCATATAAACTATCTGGAGTAGTCAATAAAGCACCAGTTATTAGCGAGGTAAGATATCTGACTGGAAATAGAACCGTATTTACCCCTCATGATATTGAAACAAAAATGTTTTGATTCTGCAAGTTTGCGGAGATCTTTTTGTACGATTGTGTGGATAGAGTATACATGACATTCAAATGCTGGCAAATAAAGGAACTGTTGCTGTTTTCATAAGAGCTGAAGGCAAATCCCTCTTTCCTACACTGAGGATCACAGAATGGCTTTTGACCAAAAGCAATTGTTAGTTCTCTTGTTCTCTTAATATTACCTTGTCATCTCAGCTTATTGAAACTGTTGGAAATTATGTAAAATATGTATATTTTGTCACAAATTGCCAGCTTACAAAAAAAAATGGAATTCCCTTCTCTCTGAAGTACTGTCAAGTTTCCAAAACTGGTTTATACCTTTAAGTAATTCAAGTTGATCAGTACTAATGCGAATTTTGTGTAAAAATGTAACCTGATAATGTTGGTGATGATTTTATTCAATAATCCTGTTTGTTTCATCGTTATATTACAGGTCCAAATTCCATTATTTTGAAAATAAGAGTGAATACTCCCGGGTTTCTCACTAAAGTGCTAACAAGAAGACTAATGTCACCCATATTAAGGTGGTACCCGTTTTTATCCCTTTCTATTTTCTTGTTTCCAGCTGTTCTGTTCAATCTGTGCTCCCATTTTGTACAAATTCCCTATTGTTGCTAATAATCTTATTTTTCTCTGCTTGTGTATTTGCAGGAGCAAGTAGTGCTTTTAGGAAATTACATCGTTAGCAGACAATCTACACAGAGCGTCCGTAATGCATACTTTGTCCTCAGTGGAACCAAAGCCCTGTCAGATAACAAGGTAAGGTGAAAATCATCATGTGGGTCCCCCATGTATATTAATGGTCAAAAGTGTAGCTCCTCAGAGAAAAAGGAGAAGAAAAAACATTTGCAGGATTCTGCATACTTCTTGGAAGATCACATATGAAGTACGGTCTCACGTGATTTTTACAGAAAATCTGATTTCCATAGTGTAATGAAGTTCTTGGAAAACAGGTACAAAGACAATGATGAGTACTGCAATCATAGATAGATAATTATCCTAGGAGGTGATCATTCAGGTAGTCATCTAGTGGTGGTAGTCTGAGGATTATTCATCTAGACATGTACACATCTCAAGAAGGTTTCACCTACTTCCACCACACATGGACCAGCAGTGATTGCCCTGCAATCCTCATATTTCAGTCGTGGACCTAACACTAAACCTAAAACATTAAATTCAGTGTAAACCGATTTGCATCCCTAGCCTGCTATGTTTGACGAATTAAAACTGGAGTATTTCATGCCTGGACAGGGACTATCAGTAGTGGTCAGTACTAATCAGTACTAATGTGACTTCTGTGTAAAAATGTAACCTGATACTGGTGGTGATGATTTTATTCAATAATCCTGTGTGTTATATCGTTATATTTCAGTTCCAAATTCCAGTGGCATTCGCCCTGGCCGGCCCAGTGGCCGTCACTTCTGCCCAGCCCAGCATCAGTGTGCGAGTATCCAACCTGTTCTCAGCCAGCCTGGGCAAGCTGATCGTCGTGGCCACCTCCGTCCAGTCCCAGAGTGAGGGAGACACAGCTGCTAGCAACCTGCCCCTCTCTGGCACTAGTGACCCGTACGTTTGATTTATTTCCTCCTGAACGGAGCTAGCCAAGTAGCCCAAATAATCTTAATAGTAATGCATTTACGATTTTGTATGGAGTTGTTATCTTCAAGGTCGGCCTTATTGCTTTTCTGTTTGTTTTATTCAATAGAAGGATATAGTTGTATCATATAATATCTTTACATGTAGTACGACACCTATGTGAATTAGCTCGCTCGTTACTACCTAAGCTAATACATGCATTGTGCTCAACAAAAAAACACAAACTTGATTTACTGTGACATTGGGTGAGTGTAATGGTCTTGGAAGTTATTGCAAAGTGCATGTCACATCATATATGGAGGGGTTTATTATTCAATATGGTACTTAAATTCTTTTTATATTTGTAGATCTTTATAGAATTCTACATTATCCATACATATACATGTAGTGAGTTTTCCAGCCTTCCCCAGTACCAAGATTACCCTTCATTCATCATTACCACCCCATATTTATGCATTTTATCTATTTTTGTTTTCTTTTTAGATCCATCTACCAAGTGAACCTCATGGAATCTAAGCTGTCGCCCGACTTCTACCGTGTGGTCCTGGATGCCACGCCCTCCCAGGCCGACACCCGCCTTATTGGTCTGGCCGATGGTGCGGTCACGGTCAAGGTCACGACCCAGGTCACACTGGACACTGCAGAGATCAACGTGATCGACAAGGATCAGTCCATCACAGCCAAGACCATGAGGTAAGTTACTCCATTGTAAGATTTATTGATGGAATGGCAGTCTTGCTCATTGTATTGAATATTTCAGAAATATTTATTTCATCTTTGACCTTTTATTTTTTTATGGAAAATAAAGACCCTGGTGTGCTGAAAGGATTTAGAATTTTATACTGCAGGGGTTATCCGGCTTTGGTATTCAAACCTAGTAGTCCCTAGTGCATGCATAAAAGAAAGAAACCTTATTTTTTAAAGAAAAAAACATCACTGGATGAGGATGCATAGATACTATTAGACGATAATCTGTCACTTAGTAAAGGTTTTACTGTCTTAGTGGTAGCATTGTGATCTCCATTAATCTCATCCTTTTTGTGTTTCTGTTTCTAGGGTCAAGTACCCTGAGAAGGTGACCAAGGGCATCGAGGCTGACCATCATCAGAACCTGGTGGTCAAGTTCAGCCTCAAGGACAAGTCTGGACAGCCCATCGAGGCTCACCAGGTATACTACGGTTTATTTATTACCAAACTGTAGTTCATTAACCCAATATAAGATTGCAATCTGATCAATGTGTTAAGTACCTGTAGGGATGAATCATATTACAGAGTACACAGGGTTGTCAGTTTTCAGGACATAGCCTGATATATAGTTAAAAAATCCTGGATTTAGCTCATGCTGCAATCATAATTATAAACCTTTAGGTCAGTAAGGAATCCCATGACTTTTACAAGCCAATCGTCTGTATGATTATCAAGATATTTATGTTTGGAAATCAAAATTCAAAAATTTGTTTTCCTAATGGGTTTTATAACACTACAGTCTATTGGGGAAAATGAGTAAGGTAAACCCGGTCACTCAAAGATTTTTACTTTTTTGAGGCACTTCGTGATCATTTTGAAGCACAATTTTTGTAGGGCTCAATATTACACCATATCACAGACACTGATAACACGTAGGGCCATGCATCTCAGATTTAACATTGTTAAACGATGCGTTTAATACCCAGACAACCTCCTTTTTTTTTTTTTTTCTTTCTTTTATTTTCTTATGTATTTGTTGGAGTGTTCTATAGAAATGTGAGGTTTCCTACTTAGTTACCATAGCTAAAATGCTAAACTGCTCTCTGCCTCTGCATGATTTTTCCTCTACTGCTTTATGAGAAGTCACACCTTCAGAAATGTCTATTCTTCTCTTCCAGACCTTTGTCCGCATCACCAACGTGAAGACCAAGCAGGAGGTCATCTTCACGGCCGAGGCGGATTCCGGCAAGGTCTACAAGTTCACCCTGGACGTCGCTGAGAGCGGCAAGGAATACTTCAAGGATCTGTCTGGACGCTACTCCATCGACCTCATCATCGGAGATGCCGTCATCCAGAATCCATTCTTCTGGAACTTGGTAGGTTCAAGTTGATGAACAATTAGCAGAAATGAACTTTGTCTTACTACAGTCAAACCTGTCTATAGCGACCACCCAAGGGAAACACAAAAAGTGGTCTTTGTAGACAGGTGGTCTTTGTAGACAGGTGGTCTTTGTAGACAGGTTCCTTTAGTACATGCTTCAATGAGAAACCATTTTCAAGAGAAACAAAAAATGTGGTCCTTGTAGACAGGTGGTCACTAAAGCAGATTTGACTGTGTTAGTATTGTTTGATTTATTTGGGATAAGTTACATTTCTTGAGAATCAACTTCAAAAGTGTATGTATCTCATTTCTGTGTCGGGGAAAAAGCAATTTTGTATTTTAAACATTTATTCCTTCTCAACATCGAAATGTTGAAATGTATCTGCGCTTTTGGGCATGACAGGTCTTCTTTCAGTGTGTACCTTTTGAAAAATAATTCTTAAATACATAAATGCATTTATTTTATCAATAATGGAAACCCTAAATTCCAGACACCCTTAAAATATTATTAGTCTTCCAATTAGATATAGTTTTAGTAATTATCCTGGTGTCTGTGTTCTGTAAAGCCATTTGCAATTGACACAAAAGTTGTTTCCTTTTAATGAGCATCTTTACATTAGACAGACTAATACAGGCAGTTGGTAAGAACTGACACCTTCATGAACCTCAAGGAATGTATTCCATTCTTATTTTCCATCCTCATTTTATCCACAGGCCGAGGTGTCCCTGCAGTTCCCCGAGTCGGAAGCCAGGCCCTCTCTCCCAGCCGGCAGCCAGTACAAGCAGCTACCCAAGATCGAGCACATGTTCCGTGTCGCTGAGAAGCGTCCTCCCTCGGTCGTCTCCAATGCTTTCACCGTCCTCGTCTTGGCTCCCCTTGTTCTTCTCTTCCTCCTGGTAAACACGCGTGGAACTTATCACTGTCAGATTGTGTATTGAAATAGTCTATGAAAGGATGAAAAATGTTATTTACATACTTTCAAAGTTGCACCCAATAAGTTTCCTTTGATTTGTGTCATTTCAACTTGGTTGTATCACTTTTTTTTGTAATATTAGGCACATTTTCATTATCCCATGCCTGCACTAAGTATCCACACTGAACTTTTATATTCAGTTTTGTGGGTTGGTTTATGCCAAAGTTGGAGAGTTTACTATAAATGTCCTTCTATTAAATGGATACTCTGGAGGTGTTGGAACCACCTACAAGATGAAAAGCAGACTGGAGGGAAAATGAAGGCTGCTTTGCTACACTGCTGTTCTTATAACAATATTTGAGATGAAAGGAAATCTAATGAGTCCATGTTAATTTGGGACAAGCTGGTTTTACTTTTTGTATGGCTTCACAAAAACTACATACATATCTGTTCATTGTTGCACATCTTTGTTATTGTATTGTATTATGCATTCTGAACTCGGTATTCATTGTTTGTCTATTGTATGTTTGTGATTTTAGTGGGCCAAGCTTGGAGCCAACATCAATAACTTCTCCCCATCCCCCAGTGCCTTGGGCTTTCATCTTGGTCTAGGAGGTAAGCTACATTCCTACTCTTATCCTGGAATAAAAGGAAGCATTTGTATTAAAAAAATGCACAAATTTCATATATTTTTCAGTAAAAATAAATTTGTAAGTTCTTATGATGTAAACCATGGACAGATGTTCCTGCAAAAAAATGGCCAATGTCCTTTTTACTCTCAAAACTTGTTGTTTTTAGATGATATCCCATTGAGTCTATGTAGATTTCAGATGGTAGTTTCTTTCTTTGTTGGCCAGTAAGGTCATCAACCACGTCACAAGCTATATGTAAAATAGTTTTAAACTGAGAATAGCATTACAGGTTTCCTACGCTTTACAAGGTTACATGCTGTCTGAATTCTTATCTCCCACAAACGATTTTATATACCGTATAACTTCACTAAGCTGATGTATATTTGGAGAAAAAAAATTAAGAGTCCACAAGATATCATGGACAACTCTTGGGAATCAGAGTTGGAAAAATGCTTCCACACCAATATCCTTCTACCACTTGTCATATCCCTACTTTACAAGGTTACATGGTGTCTAAAATGATATCCCCCACAAACAATTTTCTCTACAAATTCACTAAGCTGATGTATATGTGGAAATACAGTTAAGATATGATGGACAACTCTTTGGCATCAGAGTTAAAGAAATGTTTCCGAACCAATATCCTTCTACCACTTGTGTTGTATCCCTCCTGCAGGAATCTTTGCCTTGTACTACTGCTACTGGACGTGTCTGAACATGTTCTCTACGCTTCAGTACCTGACCATCCTGGGGGGCATCACCTTCCTGTTTGGTAACCGTCTCCTCAGTGGCATCGCACAGCAAAAGAAGTAGCATAGTGAGTAAAAACAAAAATTATGTACAAATAATACACAGCAGTGAGGGCATTAGTAAGAATTAAACACAAGGTGCCTTTGGAACAGTCTAACATGCACGAGGCGATAGCCGAGGGTGGTTGGACTGTTTTCAAGGTACCGAGTGTGCTAAATTGTACTAATGCCCGAACAAAATGATGTGTACTATTTGTTTTATAAGATTATGTCTTATTTGTTTTATAAAATGATATTTCATAACATGATTTTACTAATGACCGGTCATTAGTATTTGATAACAACTGGTCATTATCAAAATTATGTGTTAGGCAAAATACATGCCTGGTCACGTGTACGCTCTCAACTAATCATTTAATTAAGATCCACGTCATCATCTTGAAATTTATTCTATTCATTCATTACCTACCAACTCTTGCCCCTGATCCCTATCCCTTACCTGTTACCGGGTATCTTTGGCGTTGCACAGCCAAAGAAGTAATATAGTGAGTGAAACAAACTATTCAATACCTCTTTATCTACACATTACCTTCCCCTTTCCTCTCATATCTCGTATCACGCAACAAAAGAAGTAACAAAGTGCGTAAAAAAAACTATTTAAATACCTTTTGTCTTTATAAGGAGAACAGCAAAATGTGCTGAGCAGAGGAAAGAAATCAGATGGTCACACAATATTCACTATGAATCTCTCTCTCACTAAGTCGATACAGATTTTCTTTTGGGTGATCCAACATTTTGCTCCAATTACAATGGCTGCAAGATTTATGTTGTCAAAGATACAGGGTTCTGGCAAGGGTTGCCATTTTGAGTTTTTAGATAAGGTATAGGTATCTATTGGGGTAGGGCAAGGGTTCATCTAGGCCAAGGTTTTATGGCAGAGTGTTTGTTACTGGAGCATGCGTTATACAACCATAGTCTTGATGGAAGAATTGATTGACTGCAAACCTTTGATGATGTTCCTGTAACTCAGGTTGAGAATATTTGACTATCTATTCTTGATAAATTGATGACAATTTTTTGCTGAAAAGGAATCATTCTCTCTTTCCCCATCATTCAAAACTGTGGAAAATCTCATTTGTTTTATGAAGAGTTGATTACTTTTGCTCTGTAGAGTTAAAAATCACGATCAGTATGTATCATAAATTATTTCTTAATGCGAAAAATATATAAAATATATATAATGATAAATAGTCATAAAGCTATGATGGAGATTCTGTGTAAGTGTGTATAAAACGTGTTTGTGGTATGGAATGGTCATTTACTTCTTTCAGCCTTTATATTGAGGCGTGTATCAAATCAAGGCAGAACATTTACAGGCAGTGGGGGGAGAAAACCTTATGAATAAAATTTTTCCATTTTTAGGAGAGTGAACAAAAAAAATATGTGCATCACTCTCTTAGTCTAGATTTTCAACCTCCTCTCCTTAATTCCCCTCAGATTATCTGTCAAGCTACCAATTCAGTAATATGTGTTGGCAAAATGAAGTCCTTTCAACCGTCAAATAAATTCTTAATGCCTATTCTCCAATCTCTTTTTCTTCCTTTCTTGCAGGTTTTACACAACAATAAGAGAAAGGTCATCAATTCGTCCCGACCAACCAAACAACAAGAGGAGAATAATGCAATTTAATTTGAACTGTAATGTACCTCATTGTTTAATTGAGGGGAATTTATATACATGTGAAATACAAAGGTTCAGTCATTACAAGTAAAATATTGCTGTTTTGTAAATTTTTGAAAGTCACTAATTTTTAGTGAATCTAAGAATAGTTTATCTTTATAAAATTACTGGTGAAGGGCTTTTTTGTAGTTTTTTTTTCGCTCTTGGACATTTCAGTTGAGTATAGACGTTATAGAACTTTTGTTTGATGTAGTTAGAAAATTGTAGAGTACCATAAAGATCATGTTTCTTATTCATATGTTTATGAACAATACATGCAGGACAACACAAAACTTAACAAGCAGAAGTAAATATACTAGCCTACTGTATGTCTAAATAAGGTAGCATGTAGAATTTGCATTTTTGTCAAACTTCCAAGTAAGATTGCCATTATTGTGTAGGAATTTTGCATTCTTGATATGTTCAAACCTCTGCATAAATGTTCTTCTTTGCATTCTGGTTTGTACTTGTACGTCTGTGCAGGGGCATCTTAAATGTATTACTTTATTTCCTTGGATTACTAAGGTTTCTCCAACAATGTACCTTGTTCAAAATGGGGTTGTTTTCTTGATTTTGTCTAAATGTGTCAATTCCAGTTAAATTAAGCAGATTCTATTGTGAACCATATTGAAATGTGTGTTCTGTCATGCTTATAAAGTATATTTAAAAAAATAAAACAGATGACTGGATTTCAACTTTCACCCATAATTGCACCCATAATTGTTGAATAGTATAAAATGTGGAATCATTTGTAACCCGAATTGAGTTTATTGTATTTTTGTCTATTTAGCATCTTCACATAGGTGTTGGGCATCATTATCATGGTACAGTCAAACCTGCTTTAGTGACCACCTGTCTACAAAGACCACCTGTCTACAACAAGCACAATTTTTGTTTCCCTTGAAAATGGTTTCTCATTGAAACATGTACTAAAGGAACCTGTCTACAAAGACCACTTTTTGTGTTTCCCTTGGGCGGTTGCTATAGACAGGTTTGACTGTACTACTTATCTGTATCGTTTGATAACCCTGGAATTTATAACATGTGATGCCTCGCCTTGCAAAACAGTGTTTTATTTGGGGTGATGTGCTATAAACTGTTGGAATTATATATGATAGCTTACAGTTGCAATAAATGCAACACTAAAGCAGTTGCTTTCAGTTCTTTTAAAAGAACGTGCCATCTGTCCATCGTATATTAAATTTGTAACTGCCCTCTTTGTAAAATTTTGTTCTTCTTCAAGACATGCGGTTTGATTATCGCAAGAGGTTTATGTAATTATTTTGACTGGAAAATGTTTTACCGAAAGAAAATTTTGACACTATCCTGCTGTTTCCAGCAATAAAAACAAAAATTTTACACAAATATGAGTCTTCAAGTTCTTTCATTCAGTTTACCAATACAATTCTTCATAACAAAGTAGGCTGCAAGTTTATTCAAAATCTGAAATTAAATAGAATAGAATAAGTACAAAAAGATGGAAGGCAAGGGTTTATTAGCATAAAAGAGAGAGAGAGAGAGAGTGAGATAAAGAGAGGAACTGAGAGAAAGATAGGGATAAAGTCAGAGAAAGAGGGACATGAGGAAAAGAGAGAGAGGGGGGGGGGGGGGGGTTGGTAGACTTAGCAGTTAGAATACATCAGGCTGTTTGGTGACCAAGCAGAACTTTTCTTTTTCAGAAAATTATGCCTTTTGATATGAATAAAAGGTTTACTTAATTTGTTTTAAAGATGACCATTGTAAAACATGATCCATAATTTACCAATCTGTAGGGGGGGGGGGGGTGTGGGCAAAGATTTGAAAGGATGAAATGTATCGTATTTCCTGATTGTGGTTTATATATTTGTATACAAAAGTAGCAAAATGATTGATAACTTCTTGTTTAAAGATTAAGTTGAGTTCTGGTCATGCGATTGTGAAAGAAAAGGTGTGGAATTGATCAGAAAAAGTTGATCATGTAGCATACATGTAAGTATTGGTGTTTACTGTAAGGTTCTGGAGTCATCAAAATCATAATAAATTTGGCCCAGTCTTGGTAAAGTAACAGAAAAATGTACCGGTATATGGGACTACACAAATGGTGTCGGGCCTATTTCCAGGATACTTTGTGAAATAAGAAGTATTTTTCCCCCCATCAGATTCATAATAATCGGGAAATAAAACTCACTCTTTAAAGGTTCATATGAATAAAAAATCTGCCATTTTATTGAAATAAATTTTTGGAACATTCATGATTTGCATATTACATGTATAATTCCTTCCTTCCACTTTCAGTTTCCTCACCCCTCTCTCTCTCTTTGGGTGCCATTCAGGGGGGGGGGGGCACTTTATCATCTGTAATACGTGTAGACTACTTTACCTGCTTTAATCGCATTCAAAAGCACATAAACAGTGTTTACTTCTTCACCGTCACCGAAGATATTCATATCTTTAATCTGATGTCCATTTACCATCTCTTTCAAACTTCTCTCGCTCTCTCTCTCTCTCACTTTCACTCTTTCTTTCATCCCTACCTCCCTCCCCTCTCTCTATCTCACTCTCTCTCTCCCTCTCTCTCACTTCTACATCTCTTTACTCTTCTCCATCCTCCCTCTCTCTCTCTCTCTTACTTTTCTGTGTTCATAATATCCTAATGTATATTTTGACACCTGCATCACTACATACATACAAAAAAGTTGCTTTCATCAAAGTGTGTCCTTGTAAGCTATTTGGCTCTGAGTCTTCAATATACATGTATGTTTAAATATAGATCGTGCAAGTTGGACACAATATGGCTCCATGTTGCATTGTTTGACAAATAGAGAATGTGCATCATAGACTTCTTATTAACTGTTTGCAAGTTAAAAAGTGCATATTTATGATACTTTAACTGTAGAAATATTTTCTGTTGCCATTTGTGGGAGGTTTATGCTCTTTTTTTCTTCACTAAAAGCACAAGAATAGTCCACTGAGAGCGAGAAGGGTGTTAAGTCATATACCTAAATGTATATTGTACATAAAATCAATGCCCTCTACCCCTTTAGAGATAACAACACCGAGGAATAATGTGAAAGACAATGCACAAATTGACCAATACGAAGCAAGAATGCCTTTATTACATTTTAGAAAAAGAATTGACATTATACCAATTAATAAGACATTAATATAGGAATGTAAAGTATGAATGATAACTAAAAATAACTGCAGTCCTTTTAATGGCTTGCCTGATCACCCCCCCCCCTTTGGTTTAAAATACATTTGCTGTGCCTGAAGTGTCATAATTGTGACAGAAAGATATCATCATGTGCTTCCAAATATTTCAGGCTAAATGTACATTTATTTGGAAATAAATGTAGATATTGTTATGTATATAGAAAAACATAATAGACATGCCAGGTGTAATGCACACACAATGTAATGCACATACCACCAGTGACAATAGGACAATAGATGGATACCTGAACAGCATACCACTACCACTATAGTAAGAATGTCACTGCTTTGAACTTGCAAGCCACTTCACTACTAGCAGCCAAGTAGAAAGGACACTCCCTTAACTCTCAGGTAAAGCATACATGTTATAGTGTATCAGAGATACAACAAATATAAAATATACATTCTAGCTTTGAATATTTGAAGGATCTCATAAAACATTAACATACATCCCATATAATAAAAAGGAATAGAGTTAAATTTATAAAAGCTGTTCAAACCTCACAGAATCAGAAAACACTAGAGAGATGACACGGCATAACAACTGTACTTAAACAAAGAATAAGGCATGTGAGCATTTTCCAGGGGTCTCTTTTACATTTTTTTTCTTCTAATGATGATACATGACATGTACACAAACACATATTTTCAGGGGTTCCTTCCACAGAAAATATTCTTTGTCCATCAAATGAAAAAATATTTGTTTTCTTATACATGTACACAATCTAGAAGTCATATTTTATATGACTACATCAAAGATGTCATCTTTCTAATTGCAACCAAAATAGAATGCTTTGGTTGCGTATAAAACATTTCCCATTCTGTAGATGCAAGGCATAAATATTGAAGGCACCACCGTCAATGTAGGACATCAATTCATACATGTATTTAGCACAGGGTCCATGCCTTCCTGGCTGTCAACAGATAATACACAGTTACAGACAACTTGTTATAAACCCGTAATAAGATCATTTTGTCAGTCCAAGTTCTTAAGAACGACTTATCAACTTACGAACGACTGCATAAACTTAGGAACAACTCTTTATGAAACACCCCTCTGATATTGACAAGATTTCCATACAAGGTAAAATTCATTTCATAATTGGCCCCCAAGTCGTTTTGTTACATGAGGTTCAATGGTATGTGTCTGGGGCAAGTCTAGGCTATTTCTGAATTATTATACATGTGATGTACCTGATCACTGTGTTTGGTTTATAGCCCTGCTACACCTTAATATATCAGACAAAATATGAAGTAAAATAATATATTTGATGTCAATTAAAGCTTATCTGCCATAGTTTACAGGAGGGATTAGAGCGCCCTACAAGGTCACTGGACAGGTGGTTATCTCATCAACTCAGCTCTCAGTTAACATAAGAAAAAGAGGATCATGGGGGACCAATGGTCACCGATTAGGCATTGTTTGTTGTAAGAGGGCGCAAGTACCTACAAGTAGTGCAGTGGGCCTTTAATGTTAATCATTCATGACCGAGTTCCTCGAACTTGTTTACAGGTGTATGTTTACTTGTATAATGAAGCTGTGGTCCTGTTTACATTTCATTTACATATGAATTTCCCCTGAGATGCAAGCACACATAGGTACAGTTTACATGGTTTATAACATTTCATTTACACTGTATAACAAATCAAACAATTGTAAGAAATACTTTATACCAACTTAAGTTAACTTCCTGCTTAAAGGTATTGGTTAACAATGCATGAATAAATAAAATTCCTCCATACTGTTTGAGCATGAATACTACAGTTACCATGATAGATACAAGGTTCTATTAAAGGTATTGGTTAATAGATACAAAATTAATTGATCAAATGGAAATTGACCAATGTTTTAAAGACATGGGGTACTCTTGTTACTTTGCAGCACAAAGGGGTACATGTATATGCACGCCGCAGCTCTGTAAACTCTATAGACATTTCCCATTATTTAGCGGTTGCATTCTACTTTTGAGAGAAAAGGGCCCTATTTTTACGTGAACAAAACAGTTCGAAACTGATATCATTGTAAAGGAGAATATTTAAATATGTTTTTGGTGTGTTATTGCACTTCTGGATATTTGAAAATGCACGTAGTCATTTTTTCAAGGAAATTTCACGTGTTGTAGACCGCGGAGCGAGACCGCAAGAGCAGATACGCGCGAGTTGTTCATATGTTCAAGACTTCATCATGCCTGGGCTAGAAAGTAAGACATGTGGCTGTGGTTGAAATTATGTTTTTGATATTACTTTCATGTATAATCTTAAGGGATTATTTCAGTTAGTAAATTTCTTACCTTTTTCCTTATCCACTATTACATATTAATTTGCATTCTTAATTTGCATATTCATTTTCCCAGCTCATGTTCCCTTTTCATTCAACTTCTTACAGCACAGTCTTTTAGTTACACTACTGCCACACCATATAATACCTTCCTCACCTTCCAACCCATTCTCTTTGTTGTCTTCTCATTATCTATGCATGGTTGCCTTTTCCTGCCCTAGCAACATGCACTTTCTCTTCTCTCATTCATTCTCTTCACCTCTCACGGTCTCACCTTGATCTATCTAGCCTGTTCACCTCATTGGTTTCTCTTATCACATGACGTTTCCCTGATTGGTTTGTTTTGTTATGATGCCTGATTTGTACTTGGACACATGTTATAATTTGGTAAATTAAAGTTACCGGTAGTTCTGTTCCATCCTTCTTCGATTGAGGTTGTCATAATCTACTGAGTTACCCGAGTCTAGGAGAGAGATTAGTTTGACTTGATGCAGCATGTTTGATGATTGATTTTGGTCAGCTATATTTTCTCTCGGTTAAATAAAGAAGTTACAATATGTTCAAGACTTCATCATGCCTGGGCTAGAAAGTAAGAAGCGTGGCTGTGTGTGAATTATGTTTTTGATATTGCTTTCATGTATATGCTTAAGGGATTGACCATATACAGGCCGGCCTTTCGTCGATTCCACCATTATCTGCTTTGTTATATGTATGTTGTATTCTTGTTTGTATTTTGATTGTTGTGTATTCTTATCAGATTGTGGAAATAAACTTGAATTTAATTTTTTTGGCGAAACGAAAAAAAGAGGTGGAGAGCATCGTCAAAGAGGGATCAAAGAGGATTAAAATCCCAAAAATTCTTGACTCAAGTGTGAGCAGCCTTGAGTCAAGTGAGGACAAGACCCTTGCAGATGTGCGACAGCTAAGCCGGACTAAGAGGTCAATAGACCAAGTGTCAAAACAGAAGGTATAATCAAAATATCTTTAAAAACCTTCCAAGGTAGCTGTTCCTGGGAGCTACAAGCTGCAGTTGGGCCAGTACCAGGGGTCTACCTTCAAGTGGCTCTTCAGCAACGACCTAGGCTATGCAACGTACATCGTCAACAGCCTGGTATGTGAGAGGCGTTCGGACAAGCCACTCAGCACGAACAAGTTCAACTTCAAAGACTATATTGAGCTGTTTAAGGAGGGAAAGAAGGCATTGCAGCTAAAGGCGAGTAAAGACGAGGAGCAACAGAAAGCCCTAGCAACACTATAGTCACTTCAACAGCAACTCCGATTGCGCGTGCTGTGTGCAGTGTGCAGTCCAGCTGTAAAGCCTACTAGCACAGTATACAAGCCACCTTCAGGTGATTTTAATCATATATTCAAGAAGCAGCCAACAAGGAAAGCTTTACTGGGGTGGCACTCTTCTTGCTAAGTGTATTTTATACACACTCCAAGCTTTTGGAGGCTGGAAGCATGTCGAATCTGAAGGCTGCTGTAGTCACAGCCATAGCTGGTAAGAATTGTTCAGATGTGATTCCATGACAGATAACAGAAGTATCCCCAGGGACAGGTGTGTTTGCGTATGAACACACGCTGCAAGAAGCAGCCACCAAGAAAAACGGTACTGGGGTGGCGCTGTTCCTGCTCAGTGTGTTTTATGCACACAGCGAGCTGTTAGAGGCTGGGAGCCTGTCGAATCTGGAGGCTGCTATAGTCACAGCTATAGCTGGTAAGAATTGTTCAGATGCCATTCCATGACAGATAACACAAGTGTCCCCAGGGACAGGCGTGTTCGCTTTTGAACACACGCTGTAAGAAGCAGCCACCAAGAAAAACGGTACTGGGGTGGCGCTGTTCCTGCTCAGTGTGTTTTATGCACACAGCGAGCTGTTAGAGGCTGGGAGCCTGTCGAATCTGGAGGCTGCTGTAGTCACAGCCATAGCTGGTAAGAATTGTTCAGATGCCATTCCATGACAGATAACACAAGTGTCCCCAGGGACAGTCGTGTTCGCTTTTGAACACATGCTGTAAGAAGCAGCCACCAAGAAAAACGGTACTGGGGTGGCGCTGTTTCTGCTCAGTGTGTTTTATGCACACAGCAAGCTGTTAGAGGCTGGGAGCCTGACGAATCTGGAGGCTGCTGTAGTCACTGCCATAGCTGGTAAGAAGAAATGTGCCATAAATGATAAGTGTACAGAGATGGGGATCGACCCTGATGAATACAACACGTGGTACCACTCCATGAGGAGTGGGTACGGCAGGCTGACGATGCGTGGATGTTTGTTTTAGTTTATCATTGGTGATTTGTCAGTTTTGTATGTAGTGTAAGTGTAAATTTTAAATATTTTCTAACTTTTCATTTATGTACACATTTTTATTATGATAATGTACTGAGGGAACTTTTCAACCACAAGCTTCTGCTTTTTTTTGGTTCCCCTTTTTTTCCTTACCTATCATATTACTGTACATGAATTGTATTTGTAATTGTATGATGATGTAAATTTGAGCAAAGACAGAGGAAAGCAGATGAGGAGCTCATGGAGAGAGACTGGCAAAGGAGGATGGGGATAGAAGAGCAGAGGAGGAGGACAGTGAGTATGCAAGGTCGCAGCAAAGAGAAGATAGAGGATTTAAGATGGCTTTGATGACCATGATGGAGAGACAAACCATCTTGTTGGTAAAAGTGACTACACCAACTTGAGAAGTAACGTATTGTAACTTTTATTTTGCAGAGATAATAATGACAATAGATGGAACACAATATTCTGTTGGAGATGTCGAACTCAATGCACTCAGACGCAAGAGGAGTTCTCATAAATAAACAAGAGATAGGAAATTCAAAGATTCCTCAGAAGGCCCATCTTAAGAAATGACACTGCAGAAAGCTTGGCCAACCAATGGACTAGCATGCTCATGTGGGGTCCTGTTTCGAACATCTAGTGCAGTCAGTTCGCATTTAAGGAGGTTTTTTCACCTCATCTACAGACTGCTTCGAAAAACGTGTCAAAAGGCAGGCTATCAGTGTGCTGGAAAGAGAAAAAGAGCTGTCAAAATGGCGGAACTACCTGCGGGAGAAGATGATGTACTTACATTGTTGTGTGATTGTATAATGTAGTGTCATGTAACAAGCGGCAGTCTTTCGCTATAGAAATAGACTTAAACTATTGACTGTAAATTGTTTTATATATTTTATGCGAGCTTGATTTTTAGCTTGTTTGAGTAATTTTTTTTACATTGTTTCCATTATTCTTTGTTTGAAGTCCTATTGTTCTCTCGTAAATCACAGGGAAAAAAGGTTAAGACTAGGATCGGGGGATACGTTTTTTTTTATATATATATATATATATATATGATTCATACGGGATTAATGATAATATTTTCAACCACCCCGGTTTAAGTTCTTGCCAAATTTGTCATACCGTACGTACGGAAGATCTACATGTGCACTTAATATAGCCTTTAGTCTAGGGGTCTACGCTACCTAAATCTATCACAGAGTACGAGAACAAATTGAGCACTTCAGCTACCTATATTTACAGCCTGAAAAGACAAACAGAATAAATAATGTAACTTACTACATGTACCAGCAAATGGCGAAATTTGCAAAAGAGATTTTGGCATGAACAATGATGACGGCAAGTGGCACTTCAAAAAATACCTATGCCTATCACTATCAGGTGCAGGTGCAACTGAATGTGTGGAACATTGAAAAAAGTGTGTTTGTCCTGTGGAATGAAAAGGACATTGTAGTCGACTACATTTGGAGAGACATCCAATGTTTTAACAAACAAGTTCAGAGTGTAAAGCATTTCTATGTAACTGGTGTTCTTCCCGAGCTGGTAGGAAGATGGCTATGCCGGAAGCCAGTTGAATCATCAGAAGGAGGAGGAGTGAGGATTCCGGAAGCAGTGCCAACAGTAGAGAGGAGCGACGGTGAAGGGGGCAGGGTATGGTGCTATTGCGAGAAGCCATCATATGGAGATATGATCGGGTGTGATGGGAAAAACTGCAAGATCCAATGGTTTCACATGGACTGCCTGATGATTCGCGTCCCACCAAAGGGCAATTGGTACTGTCCCCATTATAGAAAGAAGCCAAAGAATGGAGGGAAGTTCAAGTCGAAGTAAAACACAAAATACAATTACAAAATTGTGAAGTAATAAGCAGTATTTTAAACAATAATTCATTTTCTCTTTCTTTTCATAGATACGGTATACCCTTGTTTGCCATACTTAATGACGCCTCTCCTGCACCCTAAGGGAAGGGAAGAGCGTTCATATAATTGTGCACACAACAGAGGAAGGTGAATAATCGAACAGACGTTCGGCATGTGGAAGCGGCGTTTCCCATTCCTAAACCTTCTACGTGTACATCTGGAGACCGTATTTCCCTTAATCGTTGCACGTGCAATTTTGTGGAACATTTCTGTAACATAAAGAGAGACTGAGATACCAGAAAGAATGTTAGAAGAGTACATGGAAGGAGTACTCCGGAAAGAGTGTTGCAGCCGAAAGGGAAGATATGCTTATAGAGTAAGAACACTGTTCTATACAATAGGAGCAACAACACACAAAAAAAGCGCAATAGCAAAGTTTCCTCAGAAAATGCAGTAATACCAATCAGGACGGCATAAGTCTTCATGTATTTCCTAAAGATCCCTTTTAAGTTTCATGGAAAGCACTTAAAAGCCTGTCTATATTGTGAATAAATATCTTTAAAATTATTGCAAATTTTCAATGTACTTGCATGAACATGTAGATAAACAACGCTGAACAAACAAAAAGCATAATGATAAAGCAAGTAGATCGATTAAAGAGTATAACTTTCTACAGATAATACACATGGTCATAAATTCAATGTTGATTAAAACCTCCCTGAGCTGATGAGTACACCTAGAGTTGTGTTTGTTTTGTTTTCGATCAAAACTTCAAACGTTCAGGACATTTATTTTTTATCTGAATTTACAAGGAAAAAATCATGAAGAAGAAGATCTCTAAGCTGGAGGGAAGAATAAAGGCCATGTTTGAGAAGGAGGCTGTCGGCATTGGGGAAACCGAGAGTGCTGCTTTTGCAGCAATATTTCAAAGAGAAGATCCCGATATGAATGACAAATTCCCGGAAGATTCACCACAGCAACTTCTTTGGCAAGAACAGAAGAAGCGCCTTAGTCGCAGCCCCAAGGGAATAAGGTGGCACCCAGCTATAATTCGCCTTTGCATTGCTATGTGTGCGAAATCTCCCAAGGCATATGACATTCTACGTACCTCTGGATTTTTAACACATTACACTACTACACCAACTTCACGAACCACAAACCAGACTTCAACAAAGAATTTATTGACAGAGTGTGCGACGACATGAACCTTAAGTCTCTTGGGGAAACACAGAGGAAAGTAACTCTCGCTTTTGACGAGATGAAGGTATCCCAGGGTCTGGTATATTCACACTCCACAGGTGATATTACTGGATTTACCAGCCTGGGTACCATGAATACAGAGTTTGAAGAGTTTGCGAGGAAATGTGGAGAAAGCGACGACCCAAAGATGGCATCTGATGTTCTCGTTCTGATGGTGCGGGCTATATGCTCATCGTATAGAAAACCTGTGGCATATTTTTCGACGCATGGAGTGACTGGCGACTAATTGTATGTAATTACAATGGAGGCACTGGAGTACCTCGCGCTCTGCGGCTTTGTGGTCAAAGCTTTGGTTAGTGATGGGGCATCAGCTAACCGTGGCCTCTACAAGCTACTCACAAGCTCAAGTCATCATGACCATTGTTTTGTTAATCCCTTCAATGATGAGATAGTCTATCTATTCAGCGATGTCCCCCACCTGATGAAACAACAAGGAACAATCTTGAAAATTCTGGGTACCACCAGAAGACAAGAAACCTGAAGGTTCGTTTTGTTTGCAGATTCACACTACATCTATTTTTATCTTTTTGGGAAAATCTATGGATGAAAAAATCACACATTAAGTTTTCATTAATTTTTGTTGGTAATTGTTTTAATTTGAGTATGGATTTTTGGTATCTGCAGTGCCAGTATCAACATAGTGCCAGCCAATAAATAAATGTTGTATTCCTTTCGCTTTTTTTACTTACAGTTTTAGCCATCTGGGAGTTTGTAATTTCCTTTATATCTGCCATATTACAATTTTCAAGTTTTGATTACCGGTACCAAATTTGTTTTGTATATCTGGCATGTATGACACATGTAATTTTCTCAAGAAAGTGCTACTTTATATTCCTCAAAGTTCCTTCATATTATCTAAGCCAGTTTTTATTTATTCTTTTGCATAGTTCCGCGGCTTGGATGTGTCATGGCAGCATATCCTACAAGTGTATGAATGGGACATGAAAAGCGCAAGAAGTCTCCGATTGCTACATCGCATTGGAGAAGATCACGTCCACTTGACCTCGTCTCATCGGATGAAAGTCAATGAAAGTTTCCCACCTCCCTGTTTGATGTAAGTTTTTTTTTTCTCCCTAGGTTCACCAGAAGAAGAACCAGAAAATGATGTTGACGCAGAAAAGGACGATGGTGAGATATTTTATGTTGTGAATTTGCTGAGGTCAAATGCAAGTTTAATGTAACTCGTTAAATGTATGTTTGTGATCAACTGTAACCCTTGAAAGGTAGTAGCCCTCATTTGCACACCCTCCTCAATTTCAATGAAATTCCATGGTTAGGAACTTTAAAGCGTAATAATAACCCTCTTTAAATTAGTAAGAACTCTGTTCGATACCATGGGAGCAACAAAAACACAAACAAAGTGCAAAAGCAAAGTTTCATTGCCTTCCGAGATATAATTGAATTCATCCGTGATCTTCTGCTGAATAATTCCCTGAGGTGTATGTCAATGCAGGCAGATTTTGACTACAAAAAAAAAACAGCAGTCGACTGGGCCAATTTTGTTCGGGACTTCTTTCGCCAATATGTTGAAGATGTGTTAAATTTGTGTTGTTTTGTATTAAATGTGATGTTGTTTTATGTACCAGTATAATTTAGGGCTTCCTTGGAAAGCAGGCCATTAAATTTTTGGGGGGGGGGGCTTGAATGGAACTACCCTACTGAAATAAAACTTAATACATAAATAATAATAAAATAAATGTCTACAGCCAAGAAGCCCCCATGAAGCTGTCCTGTCATTCTCTGGAGGAGAGAGGACAGAGAGAAGCAGATGAGGAGCTCATGGAGAGAGACTGGCAGAGGAGGATGGGGATAGAAGAACAGAGGAGGAGGAAGGACAGAGATCATGCACGGCAGCAACAAATTGAAGACAGAGAATTCAAAATGGCTTTAATGGCCATGATGGAGAGGCAGACTACATTATTGGCAAGAGTGACTGGTGATGTCCCACCACAGTCATACAGTGAACCACCACATGCAGGCCCAGCAACCCTAGCAGCAGAGAGAAGATAGAGGATTTAAGATGGCTTTGATGACCATGATGGAGAAACAAACCACCTTGTTGGTAAGAGTGACTGGTAATGTCCTACCACATTCATACAATGCACCACCACAGCCAATGTATAACATGCAGGCCCAGCAACCCCACCATCAGCCACATCATTCCCAGCAGGCACAACAGCCTCATCAGTCCCAACAGCATCAACAGCCTTAGCAATCTCAGTGTATTTAGATATTCAATTTTTGTTTCTTTTTTGCACAGATAAGAAAGGCAAAGGCAAAAAGAAGGCTCCTAAAAGAAAGGCAGAGAAAATTAAAGGGGCGTCAAAGATTGTTGCGGCCATCGATACATCAAAAAAGGAAATGAAGAAAGACATTCAAGAGATGGAGCAAAGACAGAGGGAAGCAGATGAGGAGCTCATGGAGAGAGACTGGCAAAAGTCATAAGTCACAGAGGTCAATTTCTGAAATTACTGGTTTTATAAAGGCGGAGGCATCTAGGAGACGCAGTCGCATTTGTCTTGTTTGGTCATGTGTCACATTGCTCTCCAACTCGGGCTGTAACTACCCACTGAAGATCTGCTACCCTTTGGACGGTTTTGAATTTCATAAAATTCAAGACGAAAAAATATAAAAATTTGTACTTTCATGCAAGCTCGGATAATTTGTCCAACCTTCTGAACCTCCAGAATTCCCATTTGCTCTTGATTTTAAGAGGCAAAACTTTTTTTTTATTTTTTTATTGGAAGCGTTCCCCTACGTGTTAAGGCTGCCATTTTTTAATTCAAAATGTAGAAAACGCATAAAGTGCGATTCTCACGTCACTGTTCAATTTTCTTTTCGACTGCAGAAGGGACTCGCTTATATCAAAATTGCACTTCTCAGCGTATCATGAATATTCATACACTGCAGAATACGGCGCATGCGTATTTTACAATTCGATTAAAAAATTGCGGCCTTAATCGAAAAAAATAAAAGTTTTGCCTCTTAAAATCAAAAGCAAATGCTGCAATGATGTGCGAATACAAACATTATTTAAATTGTTATTTGTTTCCTCATTCTGATGATAGAAAATTCATTTAGCTCATGATATATTACATGTCATCCAAAAAAAAGAATATCTGGAGAAATGTGTACATTAGAAAAGTAGAAGTTGATCTCATTTTTCTTATTTTGTTTATTGCAGTTGCAACCGGACACTATATATTTAGTGTCAGATGAAAACAGGGCCACGCTACCAGAAGATGGAAAGTTCATGGCCATTGAGCTCTCGGCCACGACTCACTATAGAGTTATGGGAAATCCAGTATGCCCTCCTCCACTGCCGGCTCAAGCTACCACACCCAGGCCGGATGCTGTCCCGTACAGGACTGGGGCCATTGCCGGTAAATATTTTCATTATCTTCAATGCCTCTGCTACCTAAAATGGAGCCGCTGGCATTGTGCTTTCTGGTTGTCTGTCTGTCCTATTTTCTCTTTCTCTTAATATCTCAAGTCCAAGAACCACATTTAAATATTAGTACTACATGTACATGTACATGTGTCATCACCATTGAATTCAACATTTCATTCTGTTAAACACATGATATCTGGGCTAACGGAGAGGTATTGTCATGAATTTTGTGTCATTTGAAAGCTGCATACAAGCTCTATCATACCTGTAAATATGAGCTCTGCCTCACTAGTACATGAAATCGTCACACTGCACTTGAG